AACGTGTGCCCTGACTGAATGATAGGACACATCAATCTGGTTCCGATAATGCATTAATTCAGCCACAAGACATTACAATTAAGAAACTGGTCAGGCGCTTAACGCTATCTATTCCAAATTAGATTTGAGGTCCTTCAGACAAAGCCAATCAACTTTAAATTGTTTAATGAACACTTAGAGCGCTGTGCTGCTTTTCCAGCAAAAACAAACAGCCAGGATCCTGCACCCCGAGGGTGGAGGCTTTAAAAAAAATGGGCTGAAAAGTGGGCGGCCAGAGTGCAGACAGTTGCCGGTCATCGCCCACATAAGTCGCTATGGAAAGGCAAAATAAACAAACAAAATGCGAAACACTAACACAGCCATTGTGGCTAACGCCGAGGGCCAAAAGTCTGTCATTTGAAAGACCAATCGCCAGGACTAGCACTGAGAGAAATTCTCTACTTAATTTCTTAAACTCTGAAACTATTACATTTTTAGGGAAAACAAAATGTACTACTTTTTCGAGAGTAGATAAATTATAAAATTAAATTAAATGAATTTCTCTTAAAGTAATGAAAAATAGATTTTAAGTTTAGAACCCTAGTTTAAAACCCTAATCCCATGTTGCTACATTTGAATGTTCCGCTCAGATGGCAGAAATTACGTGGCAGCCACAAGGCAATTTGCGTGTTGGTTGGGCAAGGGGCAGGATGGTCCTTGGGGCGTAGAGGATGTGCCAACGAAAACTGATGTCCATCAGCGTGAAATGGCCAAATGACATTTGAAAAACTAAAAACAGCAGCAGTGGCAACAGCATCTGGTCAACGACCACAGTCGACAAAACTCCGGACAGTCCGGGCTAAGGACTATTCTTCCGGGTTGCCTGCTGTGCCCACTCCGGGGCTTTGAGTTCCGGACTCCAGCTGCTGCTCCGTCACAGACCATACAATGGAGAAAAGTTGATAAACTTGACCGCAAATTTTTTGTACATTAGTTTTTCCTTCATGACCGTATCAATCATAATCAACACTGGGAGCCACTCGATAAATTGATATGGCCAAGTTTATTGCATTGTCTGAGAAAGTTATTATGCCAGGGATCTGAAAACATCTCAACACGACATGACAAGGACATGAGAACAGTAGAGCCATTAAGATAAATTGACCTTTCTTCTCAAATTTTTTCGATTGAAGAGTGAGTTGGAATAGGAGATTACCCAGCTATTGGTAAAAATCAATTATAAACCATATTTACTTGCAATTACCAAACCTCTGCTAACACTTTACCATCATTTATGTTATTATCCTGTAAAACCGGTTGTAAATCAAAAGATTTTACCCGAAAACAAATTTCGAGGAAGTGAATACATTTTTGGCAATCGCACCTAACACCGAGTCCTCCATTGACGGTGCTGCTGTGGCGATTATTTATGGAATGGATTTGCTTTGTTTCCCCACGAGTGCCGCGTAGAACATGATATATGTATGCATGTGGCGGGATGAGATATAGCATGACAAATACTTTTCAGCATACATACAGCAAAGAGCATATCCGCCCAGTGACCACGCCCACATTCAGCCCTCTGGCTGTTGCACATGCGGCACAGATTTTAGTTGTTTTTAGTTTCGGACCTAAGTTCTTCTCTAAGCAACACTTTAGAAAAATAAGAGTTTATACTAAAATTTAATTTAAACTATGAACTTGAAAAGTTAAAAAAAAGTATAGTTCAAATCAAATTAAATTTAAATTATTTTATATAATTCTAAAATCTATAATACTTTCAAATATTTCAAATGATCTAACATAGATCTATAAAATATCATTTCTTATCAATGTGTTTCAGAAATATTATTAAAAATTTTGTTATATTATGATGAATATATCATTTTTTCGCCCTATAAATAATTCATTTCTTTATTCATATTCTTCTAACTAGAATTCAAGTTTCTTCTGTGTAGAAACGAATCTAAAACCAGAGTGTTGCTCAAAAAAAGGAAAGGGTTCTACTAAAAACTACAGCTGCAAAAGGGAAAATAATGGCGGAAACTATAAAGCATTCCGTAACAGTTTTTTTTTGTTTTGTTCCTGCTCCCGTTTCTATTTTTTGCCATTGCTGTTTTCATTGTTATTGTCCTTGTTGACGTTGGTCCTGTTGCCGCCCTGCCTTTCGCCTTTTGTGCGAACTGAATGACTCTGATGTTGCTGCTACAGCTCCTGCTTTTGCAACTGCTGATGTTGCTGCTTCTGACGCGCTGCAGGTTGCTGATGTTTTTGGCGAGGAGTTGCAAGGCATGGTGGGGGCTTGGAGATTCTTTTGCCTTTGTTGTTGCTGCATCGTCTGCTCATTTTTATTTAAAACTCAATTGGACGAATTTCTGGCCCCGGGTCGGGGATCAGGGAACAGGGAACTGCCAACAACAATGAAGCCAATTTGTGCAAAGTCCGTCAGACGCACAAGCGCCATCATCATCCGTTTCTCCAGCTGGGGTCTTCAATTTCAAACTCATCATTTTGGCCGGGAATAAAGTGCTAAGTGAGATATATAATATACTCTTGTATCATTTGATTATTGAGGATTTTTGTAGAAACTGGTTGTTATATAAGAGACTAAATCATTGCTCAATAATGTGCCTACTTAAAAAAATTCAACATTTTATTTAAGGAAAGTAACTTTTTGTTTTAAAGTTCCTATATAGAGTCCCCTCAAAAGACAGTAAATTAGTTGGCCTCTGAACAACAAACTAATTTCCCTCATAAGTGTGGCTTTTCATGTCAGTGGTGGGCGTGACCCGGTCTAAACTAATTATAAACTTGGCAAAAACTAAGGGAAACCTGTGGGACTGGGACTGCAGGCCATGAATTTTTCGGCCGTCTCTGTCGCCTGCCAAAATGCGAGCAAAGTCTGTGGAAAATGTGGCCAAATCTGTTGCCCGGATTACAGAGTTACGGCTCCCTCCCGCACGATGGCGACGATGATGTGACCTCCGTTGGCAAACAAACTTTTCGCGCCCGGCCACGCCCCTGGGCAGGAAAAAGTGCAGTGCACTACAATGAAGCGCCTTTTAAGCAGCAAACGGTGGCTTCAAACTTTTTTAGCGAATTTTGTCCGCCACCCAAAATCTAGGGAAAAATTATAGCAGATGCAGTGCAATGCGAGGGCGCCACAGCGTTATAGCGGAAGCACGTAAAATATTTGCATTTTTATTAAAAATTGAATAAATTGAGATGAATATTTCTTGTGCTGGCCAAAAGCAAAAAAGTTCCAGCATTTCAGTCATCTTGTTATCGTTTTATTACTTTCGTGGAGGAGAGCAAAGTTTTTCAGCTTTTTATGAAAGTTAATTTCGCTGCTGACGGCCTGCTGGATGATTTTTGAAATTCATAATTAAAAATAGTTGGAAATGTAGTTCTGCCACACCCCCACACTGCCTTGCTTTGTGGCTTTATTTTATTTTATATAATTTAATTAATTCCATGGCCGGCGCCCAGTAAAATAAAAAAAGAAAAAATACAGCCCAAAAAACCGGAAACTGAGCTGCTCTTTTCATCATGCTCGTTGCTCATACGCCATGTTGTACCGATTTTCCAGCTAATTAGCCACGACAGAGTACCCAGAGACAAAAGCAAACCAGAACCATCTGCGAAAATTTAAACCCAAAAAAGTACAGTATTAAATTGGCAAACAAAAAACCTAATTGAAAAGATTGCACCTGATTTTTTAAACTATTCAATTAAAATGCAACAAAATTATATCAGTTTTTTATGTTTCAAAAGAAATTATTTTTTTTGCCTTGGAGCCAAAAGCTTTGGTGTTAAAATATGAATTATTTATTTATATCACAAAATTGCCTGATGTACTATTTTTTTCTCTTGCACGGAACATTAATTTTTTATAAACTATTGAACCTCCATTCGATATGCATTGAAAAAGGCTTTTAAACGGAAGGCTTAAGCTAGCATTTTTATTGACAGTGTTTTTTCGATAAAACAAAGAGTTGTCAGCGAAGGATTATAATTGAGTTGAGCGCAAAATATAATTAGATTTTATAGAGCATAAATTATATGGCTTTGTTAGACAAACTCCGGCCGGCATTCCCATATTTCATTTGTTTTACAACCCCCTGGAGACAGGAGGAGTCTTCCCTCATCTTACGGCAATGTTGCAAGTTTGTTTTCAATTTAATTTCATGGTATGCAACGTCTCCATCTCACAATTCCCTGACATGTGCTGAACATTGTGCGCATTTAGATTTGATTTGTACTTTGTACAGTTTGGCATAATTCCTCTGGCAGTCGCAATATAAACAAATCATTGCCCGCCCCTGGCAGAACTTTATGTCGCAACTTTCGCACGACAAAGTTTCCTTTCCCATTTGTGCCGGCAATGTGTGGGCGCGAGCCACGCCCCCTTTGGACCCGAGGTTGGGGTCGAAGAAGTTTTCTACTCGGACCCGGGGACACATGTGCGTCCCAGGTCCATGAATTATGACTGAGGCTTAATTATGTCAGGCCAAGATTAGCCCGGCAGGCATGATTTCAGAATTCCATCAAATGCTCCAGGTTCTAACCAAAAAGGTAAGAGTTCTCATGGGCGGAAAGGGTAGGCAGGAGCTGCCATTATATTGATTCTGATATGGTTATTCGGTTCATTAAAAACTTTGCCAACGAGTCGTGTTGATGTTTCATGCAAGTTATGAATATAGCAGAATGCGAAAAGTTTGTTTCTTCTGCTGCAGTTTTAATTAGGGCACAAAATCAACGAAGAAACTTTGACGCACTTTTAATGAAGCAACTTTTCGACGAACCGTTGTATCTGTGTCCTTAAAGCCAACCCACGTCCTTCCTCACGACACCAACCAGCAGCCACCCCGCCCTTTGTTCAACATTGTTTTCATCGTTTATGGATACCAGGCTGGAAATGAAATTGAACCGCCTCTTAACCGATAATATTAAGCTTAAGAAAATATTTTTTATTTAATTATACATTTAGTTATTAATTTAAGGTTTTCTTTAATTTCCAGACAACCGGATTTGGAGGACTGCCCGATGTTACGGAACACTCGAATATCCGACGCACTTTGTCCCGCCAGAACTCGATTTCCAACAGCGACTCCGGCGGTGAGATAGCCAGCATTCAAAAGTCAAAGGTAAATTTTGGAGGTGCCCTGTCGGGAGGTGTGGTCGTGGGCGGGGAGATTGTGGGCCTGGACGCCAAGTCTCCTACCTCCCTCAGCTCGGCGACGGGAGCAGCGGCCACCGGAAAAGGCTCTGGCAAAGGCAAGGGCTCGCGCAAAGCCACCGATGCAGATTATGGCGGACACAAGGGCAGAAGAGGCTCCTGGCTGGTGGCCCTCACCCTCGTCAGCGCCATATGCCTGCTGGCGATAGCCGCCACGCTCGCCTACCAGCACTTCCTGATGGCGCCCAGCCGCAACTCGCACGCCCAAAGACTGAGGATCGTCCGACGCATCCTGCGCGAAGTGCCGCTCGTCGACGGGCACAACAACTATGCCTGGAACGTTCGCAAGTATGCCCATAGCAGCCTGGAGCTGCATCTCAGCCACGACCTGGACCACAAGTCATTGTGGGCTCGACCGGCGTGGGCACAGACGGATATGGAGCGGCTGAAACAAGGACTAGTCAGTGTGCAAGTGTGGTAAGTACCAGAAAAGAAACTCAGTATTTAAGTATTTTATTTTTCCTTATGGCGATATCTGGCTTTAATGCTATCGTCTTAAAGTTTTTATTGATACACAGCGCTGAGTCTAAAATGGCAGAATCGCGTATCTTAACAAGTATTTCCAGGACAGTAATTTTCTAGTATTACAACTACTATATGTTCTTAAGTTATATATTATAGAAATATATATATAAGCAAACTCACCAATTTATATGATAATAGCTTTTCTTCAATAGAATTTTAGTTCAATTATTTTCGAAAAACAAGGCAATTACATTAAGGGTAAGCTTTCCATTATGATGATTGGACAAAAGTGGCATGATTCAAATTCAATTGAGCCTATTCGATGCTTAACTGAAATTGCACCGTTCAATGGGGCGTATACGCAATGGAAATGTGTTCCTCGGCCATGCCATAAAAATTGAAAAGAAACATAAAACTGCAATCAGATGCGATGGCGACCCGGGGTCACGGATCTGACCCATTCGAAAGCGAGCCAAAACATGGCCGACACGCCCACCAAAACACAGTACTCTTCCTCCCATCACACCAACTCTGAACTCTGGTCTGGGCGGCAATAAAAAGCTGCCAACAATTTGACTGCAAAATAAAATTTGGCAATCGGCTGGAGGGACCCCTTCAGGGCAAGCTGCCAACCTGTCTCCGGCGCATCTATACACTGAGGAAAATGGTTTATAGCTAAAGTTTTTTTTTTATATTAAAATTACCTTTTATGTTGAAGTTTGTAACGTACTTGTGGTCACTGCTAGCAAGTTTTTTAAAAATAAAATCTATTCTTAGTTTTTTTTTTAAATTTTCAGTGTTTTTTCTTCCAATCTTTTGTGTCTGACAGTCGGCAGACAACTGCAGTTTGGGAAAAATGCTGATGGGCAATCGACTCGACTTCATTTTGGGAAAGAAACCTCCTCCTTTTGGGAAATCCCACTACACCCCCAACAACCGCCAGATGGCGCAAGCGTAACTTTTCGCCAATTTCGAATTTTATATTCGGGGGTTTTTGTGAAAGTTTCGACAGAGTTTGGAGGTGGCTGCCGTCCAGCACAAACCAAACGAAAACCAGCAGGGTCCTTGGCTATCTGGCCTTAATATTAGTAGCCCTTTGCCCTTTCCCGTTCGCCCCGAAACCCCGTTATGGCCGTATCATTGCAACTGGCAACTGAAACACAAAGTTCATCGTTGCTGCTAACTAACCACTTTGGCACTTTCAATTTGCATTTCACAATTAAATAGCAGTCGAGGGTTATTATAGGGATGGTAACATTTTTCGAGAGAACATAAGAGTTTAAGGTTTGAATTTTAAAGCCAAATGTTGGAAAGACTTGGTGACCAAGGGCGTAGTCAGACCTTTCCACAGGGGGGGGCAAAAATTCAGATTCAGTCAGAATTTTTCACAGGGGGAGCTCGAGGAGCCATGGCCTTGCCCATGTATGATCTAAAGTATATACAAATATATATATATAAAATGTGCTGAAGTAATTCAACCTTAAAAAAAATATTTTGATTCATTTTTATTGATTTTCATCAACTTCCTCGGCTGATCAGGGGGGGGCAATTGCCCCCCTGCCCCCCCCCCCTGCCTACGCCCTTGTTGGTGACCATTTGGTGTCCAAATGATTGTTGTTAAACTTTAAAACATTATCCTTTGAGTACGCCCTTTCGACCTGTAAATTTATGCCATTCTGTTGTACTTTTTCAGGTCAGCTTATGTGCCCTGCGAAGCCCAGGGCTTGGACGCCGTCCAACTGGCCCTGGAACAGATCGACATTGTGCGCCGACTGTCGGACATGTATGACCGGGAGACCGTGCTGGCCACTTCCTCACAAGACATCGTGGAGGCCCACCGGCGTGGCTTGCTGGCGTCCCTCATTGGTGTGGAGGGTGGGCATACGATTGGCTCCTCCCTGGGAGTCCTTAGATCCTTTTACTCCCTAGGCGCCCGATATCTGAGTCTCACTCACCGCTGCGATGTATCCTGGGCGGGATCCAGCTCATCGCCGGCGGAGCAGGGACTCACCCAGTTCGGCAAGGCCATTGTACGCGAAATGAACCGACTGGGCATGATGATCGACTTGTCACACAGCTCTGATGCCACTGCCCGGGATGTGCTCCAGGTGACACGAGCTCCGGTCATCTTCTCCCACTCGGCGGCCCGCCAGCTGTGCAACTCCACGCGGAACGTGCCCGACGACATTCTTCGCCTGGTGGCCGAAAACGGCGGTCTGATCATGCTTAGCTTTGACTCCGAGGATGTGGCCTGCGGACGACAGGCGCGCCTCCAGGATGTCATCGAGCACATTAAATATGTGCGGGCCATTGCCGGTATTCAGCACATCGGCTTGGGCGCTGGCTACGACGGTATCGAGCTGCCGCCCCTCGGCCTGGAGGATGTTTCGAAGTATCCCGAACTGTTGGCCGCCCTGCTCGAGGATCATAATTGGAGCGAGGAGGATGTGGCAATGCTGGCTGGTAGAAACTTTCTGCGCATCATGGAGACCGTTGAGACCGTGCGGGACTACTGGAAAAGGGCGGCTATCCAGCCCATCGAACAGACGGAGCCGCAACCAAAGACCCAGTGCACCTACATGTCTTCGTGACCGCAGGCGCAGGCGGTAAGACAGCGCAGAGACGAATCCTCAGTGGAGCGAGAGCGGGACCGGACTCGGGAAACGGAGAATCGCACCATGACATCTCTGAGTGGTGCCCACTACTGGCAGGCAGAAGGGTCTGCCTCCAATGGATCCGATGATAAAGCCATTATCGCGGCCACTGCGATGTCCTTTACGGTCAGTGAACTGCATCAGTGACTCGTGACCCAGAAAAATGGCTTGGCTGGTAAATCAAAATGAAATATTTCGGTTAATGGTTTCAGTTAATAAAAAGTTTATCGAATAACTTAAAAACTCATATTAAAAACATAGCAAGTCTTTTTTTTTTACAAGATTTTAAGAGAAAGTTCAATAGTTTTGTTCAAATGTATATAAATTTAAATTTTCCAGTCCATTTGAATTATTTACAATCTTAGAAGTTAAAGTTAAAGTTATTTTTAGTCAAACTTTTTCGGTTCTGGAACTGTCGTGACCGCCCTCTTGAATAATTAGTGTATAATCGTAATTTACTACCATAGGATGCATTGATAGGCGTATGAATAAATAATTATATTAATAAATATACTAGTATTTAGCCCGTAATTGTTTACAGCTCTTCTTATTGGTGTTGTGGCTCTGCATAATTTATGCACAGTACGGATACTTATCGATGTTGCTGTACCACGGGGCGTATGCGCGACGCAGGAAACTGCAAACCGAACCGGAAACCAAAAACCGAAATCTTTCTTGACTTGCCTGTGACTGTATTATACATAAACTACATAAACATAAATCTACATACATACAAGTATATGTAGGGGAAAGTGCATAAATGATTCATGCTAATTATCGCAATTAAGCGCAATATCGCAATTTAATCACCAACATCAGGCAAACACACCAAATTATATAAATCATCAAAATGAATTAATTGCAGAAGATTTAACACACTCAGTGCACACACACACGGCACATGGCACATCAGTTAAATTCACAGCAATTAAAAATGAATATTTTATTCTGGCCAAATGTGAATCCTTCTTAATATCATTTCCGTGTTAGGTTAGTCAAAAAGCCAGAAAAGAATCTAAAATCAAAATGTCAACAAACCCAAAAAAAAATGAAATGTTGTTCGTGTATGCATAGCTACAATATATTCTATAAACAAAAACGAAAGTAAATTTAAAATTAAACTTGAGCAGAAGCAATGCGTATAATCGAATAGGCAGGCAAACATTTCCATAAAAATAAATAAAAATACAAAAAAATCATAACATAGTTTGTTTTTATCAATTATTTTCTTAAATAATAGGGCTTTTATGCACCCAGAGAAAATGGCCAGTGTAAGTGATGGAATATCTTTTAGGAAATATATAAAATACACACGAGTTTCTTACACAATCCTGAGCCAAGACTGAACCATAAAAAACGTTAAGTGGTCGTAAATCAAAATTGTGCAAGAAGGATGGGAAAGTTCGCAAAGTTCTTCCTTTACTACTTTGCGACACGGACACGGAGTCCTTTTGCCTATTCGGTCTTATTGTCCTCTCTACGGTATTTATTTTCATCCAGCCCGAACGAACTCCCAGCTCCCGTCTGATGTGGATCCGGAAATTGGCGGCGGGAGTGGCGGGAAAACGCCGAGGAGCATCCTCGCTGTCGGCCAATCCAATTTCGTGCATTTGCAGTCCATTGAGTTTTGCTTAAATTTTAATGAAACTAAGCGGTCTCTAACATTTTACGGAGGAAGGAGATCAGGGCACATCCCCTGCCCCATCGAAAAAAATGCTCGGCTCCATCATCAAGTTTTAATATCCGAATTTTTTCCTCTTAATTTTTTTTGTCCTTGTTTTGTTTACAAGACGCTGTTTTGATTGCTTTCACTTGGCTTTTGGCCTTTGTTCAATTTTGTTGATTTTCCGATGACTTAATAGAGTCGCTAATTGTTGTATAGGGACAGGGCTGAAGGATAAGGGCCTGCTCTGCTAGATAGACCTCATGGGCCCTCGTATATTGTCTGGAAAATGTTGATACGGACATGATTTATTACAAACCAAAAAGCTTAAGTATATGGCTTGGTTAACAAACAACTATTCACTTTAGTTTTTATTTAGTTAAATTAAAAAAAATAGCGTTAAGTTTCCCAAAGAGTGACTTAATTAAGCGAAAAGTTCTGAATTGGTAGTGAAGGACAGAATTATCGTCATAACTTCGTTTACGGTTTCATTTGCCATTAAATGTAATTACCCAATTTCACGGACACCTCGGATGTTAACGGACACGACAATCCACTGGAAGTCGGCAGTTAAAGGACAACGCCCAGGATTCCCCAGGCGAAAATTAAGAACTGGCCGTTAACGAGAAGAGAGGCCTGGCATCGCATTCTCATTAACACGCCAGTCCGGTTTCAATTTCCTGTTTAATTTTTCTTTCCATTATAAATGGCTCCCAGCTCGGTCCGAAAGAGGAGTAGTTCACCATCGCCAGTGGACGCCATCGGATTCGGCACCCGACTCCCACTTCACGCACCCGTGATGGAAAAAGCCATAAACAATGCGCTCCGACATCAGCGACGAGTTGATGGACAAAATAATGCCTGATGACATTTATAATGAGGAAACGTTATTTTTTCTTCTCTGTGAAACTAAAGCTTATAAAATAAAAGTTATTTTTATGTGACCAAAATTTGTTCATAAACCTGATTTATTCAAAGAGAAAATTGATATTCTCAAAATATTTAATACAACGTTTTAAAGTATTATTCATTTATATAGTAATAAAAAACATAATATGATATAATATTTATGTTTTTTTTATGTTACGATTTTATGTTGTATATTTCCTTTTCATATATACAAACACGTATTAACGTGTTAAGTACAGTTTCTCAAATTTTTCTTTATAAGTCAGTAAAAATGATTTTCCAACCACATTGTAAAATTCAATTTTAGTCATGTTATAGAAATGAATATGGTCCAGAAGTGTCTTAACATATTTTATACGCATTTTTTTCAACTTTAAATCTTTTTTGTCTTCAGCCGAAGGTTTAGCCTTATCCGGCAAGGAAACTGGTCCTTCGTTTTCAAAATCAGAAATAGAATTAATGGTGACTGGCTCATCGCCATCGTCTTTTAAGGATTTATTTTCGGTGGAAATAGTCCCATCAACACCGCTGTCAGTATCCCCTTTTTTATCAATCATTTCGATTTTGTGCTTAACTGTTTCGGCATCAATCAACCCATTAACGGTTGCGTAGGCCTCGATCATCTTAAAGCGTTCTACTTCGGGAATGTAACCATCGGATAAAATTACATACTTTTCAAAAACATCTGATGTAAGAAATAGAGCAGCATCGCAATTCATATTAGGTCCGAAGCGGTACAGATTCTGCAAGCAAGATTGAATTTGATTATAAATGAAAATAAATTAGATTAAATTTCGTAACTAAATTAAAAATAGTACTTACACAGCTGACAACCCCAATGAGATCCTTATTTTCTGCATTGTGGCTGAACTGAAAGGTCGCGATCAGATTACCTAAGCCCATTTGGGGGGCCCTAGCTGTGAGGATGGCCTGGCAATCGGCAGTAATAGACTCCACCAGCCACTTATTTCCACATTCGAAGAGATTTAATATCATCATGTTAGTATTCTCTTCCAATTTTTTACAATCATAGGTGTAAACGTAGTCCATAAATATACGAAAGGTATCGGGGCTTACGTCACTTAGACGATATTCCGAAGATTGTGATTCCTGGAAATCGCTAAGGAACATTCTTTCAAAAAACTCCGAGGCACTGCTCAAGATAAGCTTGTGGCAATCGAAAGACTCGTTTTCCACTAAAATGCGGCAATCTGAGAACTTTTTGTTCTTCATTAGATTGGCGAATGAGGGTCTCAGCCTAGGAATTTTATCTTTTAAATATTTTCTTCTCATAAAACTTATATGTATACATAATTACCACTTGTCCATTGTAAGCTGTTAATCAATTAATATGATTGTAATAAAAAGTTAGATATTACAATTAAACGATTTTAGGAATGTACTTGGAAATCGCCTTTTTATGCGCAGTTAAATGTGCTTTCTACGAAGCGATAAGTTTGCAAATGAAACTCGGAATATAGTGTTGAATAGTGACGTTTTTCTTTATTTTGGAACGTTGGAACAGGAAATGAATCTTATCTCTTCAACAAGTCGGGCATATTAGCTGATTAAAAAGTTAATCAAAAATTATTTTGATTTAATTTTATTAGTTTTAAAACAAAAAACTTCACAAGCAAGGTACAGTTTAGTGTACAAAAAGTTAACAATATAAACATTGATCATATAAGCTTTTTTTTTCGTGATTATGCCCTAAGAAATTTTTGGAACGGAACAAAAAATATTATAATAATTTATCGATAGATTTAAACTATCGATATATACTATATATACGATATAATTAATAACTTTTCATGGGCTAAAAATAGAACCACTGAACGGATGCTTATCAGTTGTCTAAAGTATTTACACACATTTTTATCGCGGTCAAAATTTATTACAGAAAGCAACTAAGGATTACACAGTGCAACAGTGACTTGGAACTTTTAAAGACATATAGTAGAATTTTTAATCAGTTCGAATAGAGCATAAAACCGTGTTAGATTTATTTGGAAAAAAAAATGTTTTTTCGAGACTTTTTTGCGATAAAAAATTCCTAAGCGCATAATTAGAAACGGATTTTTAAATTTCCTACGTTTTTCGATAGTTTAATGTCGCAGCTTTTGAAAAAAAATACACCTTCAACTTATTTAAACAAATAGAATAACATTTTTACACAAGAAAGTGACATATTATTTTTTTGTCGTGTATTCGGACTTTGAAGCAATTTTTTCGGTACAAATTACAACAAATTGTATCATTTTTTACACATAAAAATATTGTCTCATCAATCCTGAATAAAACGAGACGAAATTCATTACAAAATTATAAAAATTGTTGAAGTTATACCACTTTTTCCAAAACAAGTCAGTGCAATCTAGCGTTCCGAAGCAATAGTGTGCCCTTCCATTGCGCTTATTCCTTTTACACACAATTGCTCCGGAACGCTAATACGCCTTCTTATAATTCTTTTTACTTTTAAAGTAGCTTTTCTTTATAATGTAATACTTTTGATAGCTTTAATGCTTATATTTCCCATGTAAGGCAGTTTCCAAATTCAGAGTGAATCCATTCTGTTTGACCAGCTCAAATATAAATTATCACATATCTGTTTACTTCGATGGACCACTCGATGGCCAACACTCTGGGGAGTGCCAAAGACATCAATTCCTGATGTGCCTACACGGCACCAATGGTTGTGGTCAAGCCCGTTCTCTGGCCATGCCCATCCAGCTACCACTAGTAAGTAATTAGGAAATTTGCAAAATTTCCCATTTTCCTACAAATCTGGGTAAATGCAAACGCAGTGATCCAACCACATTATGCACGCAGACGGATCCCATTTCCCATCGAACACTTGGCCATGGTTTGTGTTTGCAAGACAAATAGCAGTTAATTATTACACAGCTCGTCCTTAATCCATTTATAATAATTCATCTCGGTCAGACATTGCACACTTGCTATTGATATTTGTCCATTGTTCCTATATTTGCCAAAAGCTTTTGGGTGTAAGATTTCAAAGGATATATATTTGTATTCGGCATTCCAGCACAGAGTATGGCTAAGATTTTATAACATATTTTTGGAAGGAATACCCTTTAATAATTGATTTAAAATATACAATTAACATTAAAAAAAATAGTTTGTTTTATTAAAAAACCTGTGAATATATATATAATGTGAATATATGTAGTAAAAATATGTTGTATTTTCAAGACTACAAAGACTTGTCTCGGGCCTAAAACTTTGCAATTGATTTACTTTTGCTGCAGGCCAATTTGGCACGCTCATTTGGCCAACTCTTGGCCCGGCCTATAGAAGTATACGAGCTGGCCAACATAACACAGAATCGTAATTAAGCGTTGTGGCGTCCCCGGGGTGTAGTTAATGTTGTGGTGCCATAAATTCGACTTTTGTCCGTGTTTCGATGCCAATGTGTTTGGGAATATTTACGACTGAATGCTGCATTTGTCAGGTAAAAAGGGGGCTTATCATGTAGCTGGGGAATTCTGTTCATAGCATCTTTGAATTGAATTTGGCTCACAATTTGCTGGAGGCTATCCAAAGCGTCTTTGAGCCTAAGTTTTGTGGGTGAAAACTAATTTAGTTAAAACGAAAATGGTAAGCTAGCTTAGAGATGAAATGTGTCTTGTTTTCTATAAAATATCTTGAATCCATAATAGATTGAGATAAAACATTATACTTGATTTTCTGAACCTATAACCTGATTTAGTGTACGAATTTTAGAACAACTTGTCAATCAGGAATCTTAAAGCCCTACCCCATTATTTTCATCAGGTGGAACGAGTCCTTATGACGGAGTACTTGTAGACACATTGGGGCAATCAAAACTGAAGCCCACATGCCAGCATCAGTTCTGGTAATTTACCTATTCCCGGCGACGTGGTAATTTCGTGGAAAAAGTGGGAGTCCATATAGCGTCGCACTCAACACACTTTCACCTAAGCGACGAGGAACACTATACTATCAACAAGTTTTTGTTGTTTTTCAGCAACAAAGTGCATTTGCCAAGGAAAGGAAATGTTGTAAGGATGTGGGGCGGGTGCAAGGATATTCACAAAAATCGTATATGTAAAGCTTAGCTGTCTATCTGTCCATCTGCCTGGTCGTTACATCGTGAAATATGACAATCTACGGCAAAGTTAAAAATGCAGATGGAAGCGAGAAAGGAAACTGCCGAGCTGGAGGACTCTTATTCCCCCACTCAGGATACACATACATACGTTTATGAAGAACGTAATGGTGGATTCAAGTTGAGCGGAACACCATTCCCGTCCCTCGAGGGATAACGTATGTATGTAGCCGAAGGTGAGAGACAAGCTCATACAAATATTCATAAGGAAAATATTAAAAATGAATTACCAACGCTGGCTCACATGGAAAACATGTGCCAATCCCGGCGAGAAATTTGCCATACGTACCAAAGTCTGTATACCCAGAATCCTTTTCTATGTATATATAATTCGTTTTCTTTTGCAAAAGGGCTGCATGATGAAAAGATTTCACTTGAAAGAACAGATTTTACAGAGACTTTAGTATATGGAAAAGCGATTTAATTGGCTTAGCTTTATTTTTCTTTCGAGTTTTCAATACAAATTATTATATTTATTATTTTGAGATGTAGTTTTCAGGGAAAAATATTGAAACAAAGCCCATTTAAAAAACCTATTTAAATATGTTTCCAAGAAATAAAACCAACAATAGTCGAGCAGCCGCAAAATTGGATTCCGTTCTTTATCGACCGAGTGCTTTGAATTTTCAATTAGGTGAACATCAAGGATCCCCGGTTCCACAACGCGAAACATTCCAAGTTCAAAAGCCCATCTGCGTGAAGTCGGTTAATTTGCTCATCATCTACTGGACGCGTTCGTGCACTCGCAGCGCATCCGGCGGAATCGAACACTCACACTTGTGTACATAGACACACATACGCACAGAAGTACGGCCGTGGTATTACGGCTTTTGGGTTGACGTTCATGCATGACCAAGCCAATGTTTTCGCTTTCCATTCGCCATTCGCCGTTCGCCATCGCTATTCGCCATTGCTTACATTTCCGTTTCCTTCTTTTGGCAAGTCGATGCCGCCTCGGGGGTCCTTGGAGTCCTTCGAGTCCGGAAAAAGGAACATTTTCGATTCGATTTTTTGCCAATTGCCCGAGACTCTGTCCTGTCGGCGTATGACGAATACGTTGTGTACGTGCCATCGCAACATTACTCATACGCACCGTGGGCTGCCTTCCTTTTCTTTCCCTTCGAATTTCGAATATTTTGAATTTTGCAAAGCAGCAGCCGGCACAGCCCCCGCTACTTTACTCTGCCCCACCGCTCCCAAGGCGATATTTGTTTTTCGCTTTTGCATATTTTGCGGGCAATTTGGGTAAAAGGATTTCCACACTCTGCGACGGCGCCTCGGCTTTGTGGCTTTCGTTACGCTTTTGCTCCGTTCCGATCCGTTCCGTTTCGCCAAGTTTGGTCTTGGCCTTTGGAGGAGTCCGGGGCTGTATAGCCGGGTTTTTCTCCGGCAACACCGACAAATCGCTCACGTAAAATATGCATGCGTTTCCTCGGCGGTTTTCGCTCTCAAGTGCTTGCAATTCAATTACATTTCGATTGATTTTCGTGTTTGGCCCAGAATCGGGGCGTTTCTGGTTAAGCATGAAGTGTGTTTTTCGACGATTTACGAGCTCGAAGCCGCCTTCTCTTTGAGTGAGGCTTGACTCGAGGAATCCAGGCTTCTTCTCACTCGAAATAGGGTATAAAAAATTAGGTATTAAAAATTCAAAACTAAACAAGTTAAAAGTAACTAGAGTTTAATTTAAAATTTTAATTTCAAATTTTTCATATTTCATTGGTAAATTTTTCAGAACATTCACTGCTATTATTCCTGAAAAAGATAAGCCAGAAACATTGTTGCTAAAGCATTCAATTCTATCAACTTTTTTATTGCCAACGTCGAGACATTTGAAATTGAATGCCAAAATCACTGATACAAAAACACAAAGAAAGCCATTTAAAGAGAAGACACTGAGATGCAGATACGCCAATAAAAATAAAAATAAAAAACAAATAAATATGTGGATATATATAGGGTCATGTATATACATACATGTATGTATGTATGTATAGTGGCCTTTGTCGGCCTTCACCAATAGCTCCCTTTCGACAAATGAAAAGCACAGTGAAAACAAATAAAATTAAATTCCCGAAATAAAAATCGGAGAACTCCCACCCCTTGAATAGTGAGGTCAATTGAAAAGTAAAGCCAAACCAATAACAAAAAGAGATTTCCTAGGAAATACATTACAGGTACAGCAAGGATATATGACCTTTGAATACATTGTTTATTCTAATCCAATCATGCACCATAGTCCTGAGAAATTTTTAGCCAAATATCAATAAACTGCTCTCTGATCAAATTAATTTATGGTTTTTAATCAATTCCAGCTCTTACTCCCATTTCACCCAGGGCAGCAAAATGCCAGGGAAAAGATTTATTCTCACAAATTGATGCCTCAATTATCTGAATGTCTGAGGCACACGTTTAATGGCTCTTCGAGCAATAAATATCCTTAATATGGCCAAAGCACAAGGATGCCGATTCGTGTGTATTCATTCTCATTATCGGGTAGACAAAAGTGTGAAACAAAGTAGATGAAATCAATTAAAATTTTCCAAATCGTACAGCAAACACGCCCAGAGCCCTGTCAGCACATCGTGGGCTTTGTCGACTTTCCAAAATACCCCCACGGGACCCATTCACCTTCGTGGTGGCCCAATAACCAACCCAATCTCAAATGTATACATATGTACATTGCAAAACTGGGTTTGTCTTCTCAAAAGCACTTTATGTTCTGGGGCGGTTAACTGGCATCCTCCGCCGCCACAATCTCCATACAAACTTAAACATTCTATGGGGAAAATGGCGAAGGTACAAGGATGTACTAGGATGCGACGTGCGCATACTTCGGTACACAATCAAGATTCATGCAAATAAAGACTTTATTATGTTCAAAGATACGAAAGAACTCTGGGGTCGTTCAGTGCATTTCTCTTATACTTAGGACTAGGGCACTTGCGACGAGATCGCCCAGAAATAAAAAACAATAAAATTTTTTAAAGATTGATAGAGAATTCATTTAAAAATCAATTATGGTATTCCACTAAAGAATCGGTATGCCGATATGCCATATATATATGCCCTTCTTTGATGCACAAAATTTTCGAAAATTTTACAAAAAATCTAAAAAATATTTTGTTCCTACATTTTGATGCAGATTAATAAAGAATTGATCCACAAATCGTTTAAAATACTCCGCTTAAGAATACAATATGCTGGGGGGCATATTGGCCATCCATGCATTGAAGGGGACCCTCCATAAAATTTTACGAAAAATCTAAAAAATATTTTGTTCCTAGATTTTGATGCAGATTTATAAAGAATTGATCTACAAATCGTTTCAGATACTCCGCTCAAGAATCCGATGATTATTGGCAAAGATATGGCCTTTGCTGGGGGCCATCTATGCATTATTCAACATTTTGAGGACCATTTCCATAAAATTTTATATAAACCTGATTTATTTCAAGAGAAAATTGATATTCTCAAAAAAGTACAAAGTTTAAAAATAATATTCATTTATATATTAATACAAAACATAATATGATATAATTTGATAAGAAATATGAAGAAAAGTTTCACATATGTATAATACATAGTCCGATTTTATGTTTTAAATTTCCTTTTCAGATATAACAAGAAAGAAAAGCTAACTTCGGGCGGAGCCGAAGTTTATATACCCTTGCAGTTAAAACCGGATATATATCGCAAACATCGGATATAGTTGGCCGATCCTTATGGGAATAGGAATATATAATCCAATTTATTACAATACAAAATCTAAAAAAAGTCCCAAACTTCTATCTTCAAAAATACGAAAGTTGATATTTCTACCAAAAACCATTTCCGATCGTTCAGTTATATGGCAGCTATAAGATATAGTCGACCGATCGTTATGAAATTTGGTAGATCGGATTAACTGACCAAGAATATAATCTGTACCAAGTTCCAGCTTTCTATCTTTAAAAACACGAAAGTTGGGTCATTTCCGATCGTTCAGTTATATGACAGCTATAGGATATAGTCGGCCGATCCTTACGAAATTTGGCATGTCGTATTATTTTGCCAAAAATAGCGCTCGTGTAAAATTTGAACTCTCTAACTCTAAAAACACCGAAGTTATACCATTTCCGATCAATCAGTTATATGGCAGCTATAGGATATAGTCGGCCGATCCGGGCCGTTCCGACTTATATACTGCGTGCAAAGGAAAGAAGGGTGTGTGCAAAGTTTCAAGTCGATAGCTTTAAAACTGAGAGACTAGTTCGCGTAGAAACAGACAGACAGACGGACAGACGGACAGACGGACAGACGGACATGCTCATATCAACTCAGGAGGTGATCCTGATCAAGAATATATATACTTTATAGGGTCGGAGATGTCTCCTTCACTGCGTTGCACACTTTTGACCAAAATTATAATACCCTCTGCAAGGGTATAAAAATACGTATTAACGTGTTAAGTACAGTTTCTCAAATTTTTCTCTATAAGTCAGTAAAAATGATTTTCCAACCACATTGTAAAATTCAATTTTTGTCATCTTATCGAAATGAATATGGTCCAGAAGTGTCTCAACATATTTTATATGCATTTTTTTCAACTTTAAATCTTTTTTGTCTTCAGCTGAAGAAATAGCCTTATCCGGCAAGGAAACTGCTCCTTCGTTTTCAAAATCACATATAGAATTAATGGAGACTGGCTCATCGCCATCGTCTTTTAAGGATTTATTTTCGGTGGAAATAGTCCCATCAACACCGCTGTCAGTATCCCCTTTTTTATCAATCATTTCGATTTTGTGCTTAACTGTTTCGGCATCTATCAACCCATTAACGGTTGCGTAGGCCTCGATCATCTTAAAGCGTTCTACTTCGGGAATGTAACCATCGCATAAAATTACATACTTTTCAAAAACATCTGATGTAAGAAATAGAGCATCATAGCAATTCATAGTAGTTCCAAAGCGGCACAGATTCTGCAAGCAAGATTGAATTTGATTATAAATGAAAATAAATTAGACTAAATTTCTTAACTAAATTAAAAATAGTACTTACATAGCTGACAACCCCAATGAGATCCTTTTTTTCTGCATTGTGGCTGTACTGAAAGGTCTCGATGAGATTACCTATGACCATCTGGGGGGCCCTAGCTGTGAGGATGGCCGTGCAATCGGCAGTAATAGACTCCACCAGCCACTTATTTCCACATTCGAAGAGATTTAATATCATCACGTTTGTATTCTCTTCCAATTTTTTACAATCATAGGTGTAAACGTAGTCCATAAATATACGAAAGGTATCGGGGCTTACGTCACTTAGACGATATTCCGAAGATTGTGATTCCTGGAAATCGCTAAGGAACATTCTTTCAAAAACTCCGAGGCACTGCTCAAGATAAGCTTGTGGCAATCGAAAGACTCGTTTTCCACTAAAATGCGGCAATCTGAGAACTTTTTGTTCTCCATTAGATTGGCGAATGAGGGTCTCAGCCTAGGAATTTTATCTTTTAAATATTTTATTCTTATAAAACTTATATACATATATACATAATTACCACTTGTCCATTGTCAGCTATTAATCAATTAATATGATTGTAATAAAAAGTTAGATATTACAAATAAACGGATTTACGTATGTACTTGGAAATCCCCTTTTTATGCGCAGTTAAATGTGCTTTCTACGAAGCGATCAGTTTGCAAATGAAACTCGGAGTAGCAAATGAAACTGAATAGTGACGTTTTTCTTTGTTTTGGAACAGGAAATGAATTTTATCTCTTCAACAAGTCGGGCATATTAGCTGATTGAAAAGTCAAAAAAAAAAATTATTATATGTTTCACGTGTTTATATTCTCAAATAAATGTTTGGAAGGGAACAAAAATTAATATAGTTAGATTAAAACTAACTATAGTCGATAGTTTTAAACAAAACCTTTAAATAAATACATAATGTATGCAGTAATAAATAAAATTAAAAATGATAAATTCATTTATAATTCAATGTTATACAAATTAAAAGTGCGATTAGTGTATTCAGAAATGGGACTGTAAATCAAACTATTTCTGCCGACCAATGAAGACTATTGCTTGTTTATTCAATGAATGTACCGATGCGACAAAAATGTGGTATAAACAAAAATTGGATTAGTGGATTGATAAAAGCTCAGGAAGCTCTTGATAATTCTTATGGAACTACTTTTAAAGTAACTTTTAAGTTGTTCTTTAAAATTTAATATTTTGGAAAAGTTTTAATGGTTATATGTATTTCCCATGTAAGGCAGTTTCCAAATTCAGAGTGAATCCATTCTGTTTGACCAACTCTATATTTAATGTAAATTTTACAAAAAACCCTAAACAAATTTTTCTAGATTTTGATGCAGTTTTATAAAGAATTGATCCACAAATCGTTTAAGATACTCCGCTCAAGAATCGGATGATTATTGGCAAAGATATGACCTTCGCTGGGGGCCATATTGGCCATCCATGCATTGAAGGGGACCCTCCAGAAAATTTTACAAAAAACCTCAAAAATATTTTGTTCCTAGATTTTGATGCAGACTTATAAAGAATTGATCTACAAATCTTTTAAGATACTCCGCTCAAGAATCGGATGATTATTGGCAAAGATATGGCCTTCGCTGGGGGACATATTGGCCATCCATGCATTTTTCAACATTTTGAAGGGGACCCTCCAGAAAATTTGACAAAAAATCTAAAAAATATTTTGTTCCTAGATTTTGATGCAGATTTATAAAGAATTGATCCACAAATCGTTTAAGATACTCCGCTCAATAATCGGATGATTATTGGCAAAGATATGATCTTCGCTGGGGGCCATATTGGCCATGCATGCCTTTTTCAACATTTTGAAGGGGACCCTCCAGAAAATTTTACAAAAAACCTCAAAAATATTTTGTTCCTAGATTTTGATGCAGACTTATAAAAAATTGATCTACAAATCTTTTAAGATACTCCGCTCAAGAATCGGATGATTATTGGCAAAGATATGGCCTTCGCTGGGGGACATATTGGCCATCCATGCATTTTTCAACATTTTGAAGGGGACCCTCCAGAAAATTTGACAAAAAATCTAAAAAATATTTTGTTCCTAGATTTTGATGCAGATTTATAAAGAATTGATCCACAAATCGTTTAAGATACTCCGCTCAAGAATCGGTTGATTATTGGCAAAGATATGACCTTCGCTGGGGGGCATATTGGCCATCCATGCATTTTTCAACATTTTGAAGGGGACCCTCCAGAAAATTTGACAAAAAATCTAAAAAATATTTTGTTCCTAGATTTTGATGCAGACTTATAAAGAATTGATCTACAAATCTTTTAAGATACTCCGCTCAAGAATCGGTTGATTATTGGCAAAGATATGACCTTCGCTGGGGGGCATATTGGCCATCCATGCATTTTTCAACATTTTGAAGGGGACCCTCCAGAAAATTTTACAAAAAACCTCAAAAATATTTTGTTCCTAGATTTTGATGCAGACTTATAAAAAATTGATCTACAAATCGTTTAAGATACTCCGCTCAAGAATCGGATGATTATTGGCAAAGATATCGCTTTTACCTGAAATAGTGTATTCCATGCATTGTCTCTATAATTTTAGTGCCGTTGTGAGATGCTCCAAACTCCAAGCTGGGCCAAAAACGGCACTGCAGCTGACTGAACCAGGGCTTTGAGGAGGTCAGATAAGCGGTCATAAGATTATTTTTACTACTGACCCGATGACCGTAAAAACGAGTGCCCGCAGCAGTGACTCTGCGGTCGCCACCACAACACTCGCCCATGCGGACTTCCTGCAACGAAGAAGGATCTGCTACTGAAGGACCCACCAATGTCCTGGCCGTCCACCAATTTGCTTTGTTGTCACAGCCCGTCTGGCGTTTTATGAACTGCGAACTCTTCGTCTTCCGGCTACGCCCTTTTTGTGCACTTTCTTGCCTTTATTTTGGCATCCCGGCGATGATAAAAATGAGGCTGCGCACATAAAATTTTACGGTTTCCCAAGGAAGACGAAGGATAACAGTATCGCCATCGTGTCGGCCATATATTGTTGAACACTTGAAATTAATGCCTGATTGACACCATCACGATTGAAAGCGATTGAAAGACACGCCGGAAATTACGAAATTTAATACTTTATGTGGTTTAATACCTGAGAACACTTACACACATTTTGAGCTGCGAACAACCTTTATTTTAATACTCGTTTCAGGAATAGAAGATTTTATGGACACCAAATGTAGCTATTGGTGATAAGGGATGTTGAAAAACATATTTGCCAAAACAAAAAATTTTCACATAGAACTAGAAGTTTTTGAAAATGCAAGACAATTTAAAACAAAGATTTATAATCAAATCGGTATAACAGAAAACGATGGGTCTGTTTTGTGATTTTTGGGAGGCATCAAATTGTTCTTCATTGTTTGGAAGTTTGTTCCATCCAGGCGGATATTCATTGCCGTTGGCATGGCCTCCACTTGAGCTCTTCTCTCCTGATTAGGTGGTGGGACGAATTTCATGTCGATGGATCCACCACTTAGCATATCGTCGGGAGATTTGACAATGGAACGTAGTACGGCTTCAACGCTGGAGCTGCTGTTTGGCTTCGGCTCTATGGGCGGATCGGACTGGGGTAAAGGTTCCTCATCAGCAATTTGATCAGACATTTTCGAATACTTGGCATAGATTCGATACAGATGAAGGTTAAAGATTTTCCCATGTTGGCCGTACTGTTTAATGGTCCTACGGCGTTGATATTTTCGTTGGGCGAATTCTTGTGCAGTGACCCCAACAGCCACCAAGGCAATGTGAGTCTGGCTGTACTCCAGGTGGAAGCCATCGCTCTGGCAGCTACAGATCACAGCTCGCACCACCTCTACGCGATTGACCACACGCCCGACCAGAGCCGACAATTCGTCAGCAATCTTTGGAATATTTTTGGGATCAAAAACAGATCTGGCTAGTGGTGTCAGCAGAATCTTATCGCGCGGATTCTGGTGAGTTGGGAGAACATCACATATCTTTTTGACGGCCAGGAGACCTGCTTGTTTCACAGTCAGATAAAGTTTTCCGCCTCCGAGACGTGGCTGTCCGTTAATTGGTTTCTGGAACGTATAAGTATAAACATAGACACTGCCACCTCCATGAAAGTTCAAACACCACATCTTATCCTTTCCGCTTTGCTTCAGTTGGCGTATCTCGGGTCCCAGCTCGAAGATGACACGATTGGCAAAGTCCAAGCTTTCTAAATTTTGGGAGCCAGACATTATACCAAAGTCGGGACAAATCTCAACAAAGGAATCGCATAGCTTCTTGAAGTCGAACTCAGTTCCTCGCAATCGTCTTGCCATAGTGAACTGAGATAAAAATATTGCAAAAAAAAAACATTAAACTCCAAAATCAGCAAAAAATCGTTCAACAAATACACACAATTCTGTATACTCACAAGTCCGATCTGTGCAGCTCCCCAAAGCGTTTCGTTCTCTTTGGAAATTTGTTAGGAATGACTGGCTACAAAGGCATGGAATCCGATACTGCAATGGAGGCCTATGGAGACCGATTATAATCATCGCCATGTGAGACGTTTCTTATATCGATATACCTTAAAAAATTAACTAAAAATTAAATAAAAATTAAAAATGTTTTGTATTATAACTTTTTTATTTCATTCATTTTTGTATTATATGAAAATGTCATATTTTATTACAGCTTTTACTTACCAGAAACGAAAAAAATATATATATATTTATAAATGCAATAACTTGGCGACAGCCAGCAAAAGGCTCTTTTTCACCTTCGAATTTAATGAGCTTCCACGGCACGTGATTATTAGGCGAACGAGCGTACGTGTAGAATCCTATGTAAAAAAAAAACTTTAGCATCCCATCCTTACTACAGGTGCTGACAATTCCCCCAACGCTCACGCTCACGCCAACACCAGAGCCAGAAACTCCTTTGCCATGAGAAAAAAAATAAAGTATATTTTCTTGCTACGATTTAACCACATCCCAGCTTCATGGTGGCACACCGCCGTAGCCGCATGGGTGCCATTTTTGGTAGTTTTCCTGCCAGCCCACCTCCCCACCCATCTTCACATATTCAAAAAAATTTCCCTTGCTCCCTGGAAGGCGAAACATAAACAATTTTTCGCGACGGTGGAAAACTTTTAACTCCCTCCGTACGTACATTTTACACACGTGTCTTCACCTACATACCACACATGAAAATTGTACCACAATGTAAGCTTTAAACACTATAAGGTTTACTTACAAAATATACAAAATTAATTCAGAAAAATTAAGGTATCTTCTTAAAATTTTTTCAAATTTTCCATATAACCATATTAGCCATAGCCATAACTATAACCATATTTTGATAATAAAATTTCATTTTTATATAGATTAAAATAAACGTATAATGTTCAATTGTATAAATCCTGGATGATATTTAAACATCTTGAATTATGCTTATAATTCTTATAAAACCGGAACCCATAACTCAGAACGGGAGCCGGATAACCTATTTTCTTCTGCGACGAGAGGATCCCTTACGGCAGTGCTTGCCATCGCCAACAGCTTCCGGTACACGATCTGCGTAATCGAATTGGGAGTTAATCACCTCCGTGACATTATCGACGATCTCGTCCAAAGTGAGGGGATGACCGTTGGTAACCATTACGGCCAGGATGATTGGCGCCAGGATATCGTTATGGCATCCGTCCATGGTTTATGCTCCAGCTGCCCGAAAAGATTCGAGTACTTGGGACTTACAATAAAAATATGACACTAGAGAGAGAGAGCTCAATTTTGAATGTTTGATTTCTGTTCTCATGTGTATTTATGACATTTTTGGTTAAAGGATACTGCTCGGGCCACTTTGGCAGTTTATTCTCCGGTTTCCACTTAGCTCTAGAGTCGGTACTTGGATAGGAGAATGGGAATGGAGATGGATATGGGGGGTGTTGGTAAAAATTCAATTTGAAAAACTGTCACTTGTCAGTTGGTCACACACTCTGCTCGCTGCTCTATTGTGTTTTGGCTTTTGTTGTGCACTTTTTGGATGCGAAATATCGACATGTTCGCACAAAAAGTGGGGATACATTTCGTATGCAAATTGCTCGCAAGTCAGAGAGAGACTGGCAAGTCAATAATAAAAAAGAAAACCGCCCACCCACCGCAAGCCACACATATGCAAATGAGATGTTGTGGGGCCTTCTTCAGGGTCTGCCTTATCTCCCGGCTAGGTCATTTCATCCGGGTTGCACATGACTAGAGTTAAACTTTTAAAAAATTTAATGCATTTTTTTTTAAATTAAATATTCTAATTAGTTCTAATTTTTAAATAGAAAAATTACAAGAAATATTATTAGCTCTTTAATATACAAATATGTATAATATCTATTGGCCCCAAATTGGGGGTTTCCCCTAAAGTGTATCGCCTAATCCCCACATCTTTTTCATATGCAGCTCATATCGGCTAAAGATACGTATGTGTACTGTACATAGCTTATAGCTATAGCGCCGTATATACAAGAATTTATACGAATCAAATACCCATACATTGACTTATTATTGTTGTGTATCTGGAGTCTTCGCTGACTCCGTTCACTCTCCGATCAGTTTTCCACCAGTCGTTGTCGGATCGAGAACATTTCAAACTCAACATTTTGCGCTGAGTCGCTTTCTTCGGATACAATATCAACGATAAGTATGTACATATATGCTTTGTATTATTGTTTTTTTAAATATACAACATAGCATAATGTACGAAGTAGAATATTCCTGCTTGAAATAATAAAAGTTTTAATAATTATTACTCGCATACTAAACTTATAAACAAATAAAAGCCGAATCAGCAAAAAAAAAGTGTATTAGAATCAAACCAGCATCTATGTATCTTACAAACATCGTATTTTAATAAAAAAAAAATTGTAAACAAAACAAAAACACATATTTTTTATACAAGTATATCTATTGAATTATTAATTATGTATATTTTTTTGAAGAACCATGTCGGCTCCTGCCAAGCCTCCATTTAAATTAGACTTTGAGAGACTGAAGCAGACTTTTATCGAGATTTGTCCGGACTTCAAGGAGGAGACGCGCTTTGAGGTGGCCACTGTCAGTTGTCGTTTCGCCCAGGACGTGATCTTTACGTACAGCAAGGAAGCCAAAGCTGCCAAAGCCCAAAACAAGGACGTGGGCTGGTCTATGCGACTGAATGTTGAAAATGCCAAGGGTGTCAGTTTCCGTAGCGAAGTCTACATACAGACGCACTTTGTCCGCGAATCTCCACAGCATCAGCCATTCATAATCAGAGATCGCCTGCTTTTGTCCTTCAAGCAGGCTAGTCTGCTGGCGGTGGAGAAATACTGTCAACTAGTTCCACACCATGTGAAGCGGGGTGAAGTGATCCTCACGCCCCTAGCTGGTGCCATCTTCAATGTAGAGGATATTCCCAAATTGGCGGCGGCGCTTCAAGAACCACTCGCCGATGTGGTGATGGCCGTCATCAGTAGCTGCCAAACCGATGGATACTACTTGACACACAGTCGCTGCCATATTGCACTCCTGGCACTCATCAAGACCGTTGGGGATCTGAAGATGCGCGCCTCGCTCGTCAAGAAGACCATCAAAATGTATCAGCATCACGGCAAGGAGCTTCAAATGGAACAGTTTCAGAGATGGAGTACAATCCTGAAGGATTTAACCCCCACCAAGCAACGATGCAAAAGCCAGAATGAAGACTACGACAAGCTGGCCGAGCAAGTTCTGGGTTTCCATCTTACAGCCAAGGAACCCCAAATCCTGGAACCCAAGAGGTATCCAAAAATACCCATGAAATGTGCAGCAAACTTTCAAAAGCTCGAAAAGTAAAAACATTTTGTAATGGGAACTGAATTACTTTTTCTTGATTACATGAGATTTTTAATCTCAGTTATGTTCTCATTAAATCAATTACATTATCTATCTTTAAATAAGGTTACTATTTTATGTATATTGTACTATTTTTGTAATAAAATACAGATTCTTGGGTTTATTGAAAAATATTGTTTAATCATTGTCTAAAAAGTGTTAGCAAATAGTTAACATAAAAAGATCATATAAAACTTATATTATAATCATTAATTGGGATAATAAATAATAAAAACATTATGAGGTTTAATATAAACCAAGTTTCAGGTTAACTCAATACCAAGTTACCAGTCAACTTAAATAAAAAGTTAGTTATATAATTATGATGGTGAGTATTCATTCGTCAAATATATTACTTAAGCTAACACTATTAAAATAACTATAATATGGAAACGAAACAAAAACAGATGTTTCCAATTATTATTTATATATAAATGATTATTTGGTTTTCTCTGTAGGTTTGGTTTTACGCTTTTGCGAACGTACTTTTGATGTTTCTATATTCGTGTGCTCCTGGTGGGTGCAGAGGCCCAAAGATCGCATAAAAATCTGCTTGGTGCTTTCCGGCTTTTCATCCGACTTACCCTTTTCCCCCTGTATTGATTGGGAGCGAGCGCGTTTGAGGGCTTCCTGCAGATTGAGACGACTAGCTTTGACTCCTACAGTTACGAAATCGGGCGAAGGCGGTTGTTTAGGTAGTTTCTTCGGCGAAGATACATCCTTGACAGGATTACTTCCTTCCACGATGAAGTACTTATGAAGCAACTGTTCCTCGTTGAGCCGATTCGCGATTGAAAGCGGTTTAATAGTTACGTGAGGGGCAACGATGAGCGGCACTATGGCCTCGCTTACAATGTCCTTTATTATAAACCCATTGGGCTCCAGATTCTGTTCCGTGAAGACCAGGCAAAAGCGATCAATATCATCTTGAAGATTTAGAACCAAATACTGACATTCTGCATTTAGCTCGGCTAGCGTTTCTTCAATTTCTTTTAGATAGTTGTCCTTGATAACAGGATCCTGGAGGACAGACAAGAAAAATATGATAATTTACATAATATTAGAAAACATCGCACAGTTACTTACTGCATCCTCCTGTTGGGCAAAAACGCTCACAATTGTCTGAAAGATAGAGAAGAATTATGTCTAAAAATACTTAGTACTATATTTTCATAACCTACCTGGTGCATCAACAGATATGATTTCATGGCTCGCTGACAATAAACAATATCGTTAACCAAATTCTCGGGAACTTTATAGAATTTCCGCAAGTAATACGTGAAGAACTTTTGTGCGTTCTTTGTAAAATCGGCTTTTTTCATCTTTACAAGGAAATCCTTGATTATCTCGTAGCGCTCGTTGTGGGTAAAGTCGTTAAAGTTTATAGTTTCCATGGTCTGACATAAAGCAAGTCGAATTTTCTTGTGTTTTTTTTTTTAATAATTTCGATGCAAAATATTGCCGCTTCTTTATTTTGAGTGTGCCCAAATTAACATAAAAAATTATAGCTTACTTATAGTGCTTAATGCCTAGTGGCATCCCTCTGATTTCGATTTCATAGTTATCGATCAAAAAAGTTATCGAAAATTTAAATTTATGAATCTTGAAACTTTTTTATTTACCTCCTATCAAATATTCTAGTGAACTGTGATGCACAGTAATTAATACGAAACCCCAATTTATGGCCAGAACCATCAGAGCTGTCCATTCAGGCTCTCTTACTGTTGTGGCGGTAAATATGATTGATGGTATCTGTGCTGTGGCTGCTTGCTTGTGCGTAAATAAAATAATTACTATTTAATTATTCACATATTGATCAGATATGGGACGCACATACGTGCCAATTGTATGCCCAACTGCGTTAGTTTCAATTAAGCTTTTCCACAAATAACTACAGTGGCCATAAATGTAAACAGCCATTATTGAGGGATTTACATTTACCATTCGAATTGTTATCCTAGGAAGCGGTTTTCCAGAATTCTAAAACATGCAAAAGAGTCCATCTATTCATGGACTTACAAAATGTTTCCTAATAAATATGTATTTTATAACAATAATTGGTACCCAAAAATGTAAAAGATCTTTAATGATAACATATGTTCCTCTTTATTTGTGAAATAAACTCGAACTTAAAATTATGATATACATGGTAATGGTAATTTTTTGTAAACGTTGTTTACTTTAGACAAAAAAATTTCCATAAATTTTTCCATTTTAACAGAGTCCCATTCTTTGAGCTGCTGTAGTGCTCTACAAATAAAAGTTACGCGCTGAGGAGATTTTGATAAGGGAATATAATTAGCGAGACCCTATTTATAAAAAAGATATATATTTGTTAAATGGTTATATTTTTTTATTTTAACTTACCTCAAGCAACGGTGTTGCAAAATAACGCGACCCTTTTTCAAATGACATCCAAAGCATTTCGAATGGATTTTCTTCTTTCAAGTGAAACAAGACATTTTGCCAGCCAATTGAATTTTTCACTTTTAGTTCGATTACCTCTTCGTTAGTTTCATGAAAGGAATTTAAATAATATACAGTTGTGTAATTTTGAGATGAATTAGAAAATTGGACTTTAGAGTTGATATTAAATAATATTTCCAGTTTTAAAGTTTCATCTTTGGCAGAAATTTCAATAAATCCATTTGGACGTAATATCGCACCGAGCTTAAAAATTTCTCCTTTGGTACCGTTAAACTTGTTTATCTTTTCTACAGCTCTATTTAAATCCAAGTATAATCGAGTCCATAATCGTTCACAGCTGACATGGCCATTTTCAATAGCTGGATGATTGGTAGATGTTTTGAGCTTGCATGCAACTTCGGGAACGCCTGATATCATAGAAGTGGCACCGCGTTCGGGATCGATATTGAATGGCATGTTAATACTAATAAGAGGGTACCAAAAATCAGGAAGTACTTCGTTATTTACACCTTTTTAAAAAAGAATTAAAGAAAATAATATGTTATAAATTTCTGTAATCTGAACATTTAAAATTAAATTTATATTATCATATTATTAAATAAGAAATTATAAATAAGAAATTCATATGCAATTTTTCCCCTTTTCTAAGCTTTTCTTTCAATGTTGAATAGTTTTATATGTTAGTTGGATTATGGGACACATTTTTTGTATCCATTTTGGCATTAAAATATTAATTACGTAATATTAAAAACGATACATAGGCATGATACTTTCAGGAAAATGCGTCGAGACTCTCGACCCGAGATGTACATATGTATGTACATATACATACACAGTATAAATGCAAAACCATACAATTTTAAGAAACTGTTCTTCCCTTTAAATTTTGCTGATCAATCTTGTATGATTTGAGCCTGATAGCGTGAAGCTTAAAATAAACAATTTGCGTAGGGGCCCGCAATATGAAATTAAGTTAAATACCAACAACGATATTATAAATATTGTATGTGTGCATGTTTTCATAGAAGAATGATGAAACAGCTTACATGTGCGGTTCAATCCAGTTAAAGTTCCCTTGAAAATGGAATTCATATCCTCCAGAGCTTGATAAATTTGCTTGGAAATTTGATCAGCATATTCAATATACTCCGGCTTTATATTGTCACTCATTTTGGGTAGTTTTTGAAGCAAAACTTCAATTGCGTCGTTGAATTTTAGAGACATTGCGTTTTTTCTTTGTTCTTGATTCGAGGGAAGTCCTAAGCTCAATGAGAATGATAGGTATGTGAAATCAAAAAAGTTACTTCGATAGGGATGGACGATGGGAGGGGATTTTTAAAATTGGACGATATATATTAAATGGTGTCAAGTTTGGTGAGTAATTTTTAGCGTGACCGGTGGAAAATTATAAATGAATGGTGGCTTTTGGGTTTGAACATAAAAGGAAAAACCAAAAATTAAGCCGACTACAACGAAACAAAATTAATTGTTTTGATATAACCCGCTTTTAAAGTAACTTCGCTGAAGCTCAAGCCGGGCCGCAGAAATAATCTTTCTCTATTTTAAGCTCCAAAATCTGTAAAAAGAACTACTAAGCCTAAAAATGTCATAAAAAAAGCATGGCGTAAAGTCATTTATTTGTTTATTTTAGATTTTAAGTTTGTTTAAGGATTGCAATTTGGAACCTTCATTTTCTCAATGTGCATATCGTTACTCCCACCGATAGCTCTTCAGCCCTGAACACATGGTGTTTGTGTTTAGAAAATGAACGAAATGTAGTGAATATTTTAAGATTTCAAACTAGTTGGTGCAATGTTTGTTCTAGCCGAGCTAAAGGATAACGTGCGAATCGCATCATCCTGCCCGGTGATGATGCTTCGCACACATAGGTCCTCTTTCGTTTCGTCGTCTTCAGGCCGATGGTGGGCACTGTGTTAACCGGCAAAATACGAAACTGCAGCAGAGTTCATGTAACTCTGGGATTTTTCGATGGCATTCTTATTCCACATGACGCCTTACAGCATCCCTCGCGATTTGACGAGGCGGAGTAGGCATGGGTGTGGGAGTATCCGCTGGAGGACGGTGTCAAGCACGATCTTTTCATGGATGTAGGCGAGCCCATTAATTTTTCGCGTCTCAAGGAACCATAGAATATCAGTTCTTGAAATGTATAAGTGGTGGCATAGGAGGGCTAGCATACATAACGCATGAAATGTATAAGTGGTGGCATAGGAGGGCTAGCATACATAACGCATAATTTTTTAAGTTAATATAAGCAATAAAGACTTATCAATAAATATCGGAATCACTCGACTTTTATTATATTGTTACATTGAAAGGTGTGTACATATGTATATGTAAAGTTGGACCAATGATATCCAACAAATTTTAATTTCTTTGGATTATTTTTGATAGTAAGAGTTCATTTTTGTCCAAAAAGCTCCATAAGTTCTTGCATTTCAACAGAGTCTGATTTTTTGAACTGCAGTAGTTTCCCATAAACATACTTTAGTGTCTTTTGGCGTCCAGTGTCTTTTGATGAGAGAATTAATTCTCGGAAACCCTAGACAAAAATTATGTAAAAATTTTGTTTAAATGAATTCATTTCTTATTTTTTTACTTACCTGAAGCAAAATTGTTGCCATATCGCCTTGTGTTAGTAAGTGAAGAAAAGTGGTAGAAAACAAAAAGTATTGCATTTCTTTTACATTTAAGTTGAACATGAGATTTTGAAAGTCCACCGTATTCTTGTGCATTAGCTTATCCTCGGCTTCATCTACTGGTGTAAAGCCATTTTTCGGTAACATCAAGTAAATTTCAGATTGATTAGAAAACTTAAATTGTGGCATGAATTTAAACAATATGGTAGCCGATTCCAATGGTTTATATTTTTTATCATTGGATTCCTCTATGGCATCAATGTGACATACTAAACTAGTGTTTTCATCAATTTTAGATGAATAGCAGAGCTTAAATATTTCTCCTTTGCTTCCTTTAAACTTTTGAATCTTTTCTACAGCCCTTTTTAGATCCAAGTTTAATAGTGTCGATAATCGTTGAGTGCTTACACAGCCATTTTGAACAGCGGGATAATTTGTAGAAGTTTTAAGCTTGTATTCAGGGAATATCATGTCGCCCATTTTAAAATAGCCGATCTCTTGGGGCTGGGCATTGAAAGGCATGTTTATATCAATACTATTGATCCAAAATTGAGGATATGTTTGGTTGAATAAACCTATTTAAAGAAGAATAAAAAAACATTTTAGTATTTTTTAATCTGAAAATTAGGAAATAGTTAAATAAAATAAGTTTTTTCAAACTCATGTTCTACATATATAATAGGTAACACACGTAAGTCGACGAATTTGCTATTCGTTGCTAATACTAATGCATTAAAATCATATTAATGTATTGGGGTGCCGAACACTGATATATAGTATATGTATGTATGTGTGAATCTCGAACACTGATATATAGTATATGTATGTATGTGTGAATCTCAAATTACAAAATTTCGAGGGGCAATTATAATGAATTTTTTGAAATACCCACGAAGATATTAGGAACATTGCTTGTATGTATGATTCCCTAGGAAAATGGTGGTACAGCTTACATGCACGGTTCAATCCAGTTATAGTTCCCTTGAAAATGGAATTTATATCCTCCAGAGCTTGATAAATTTGCTTGGAAATTTGATCGGCATACTCAATATACTCCGGCTTTATATTGTCACTCATTTTGGGTAGTTTTTGAAGCAAAACTTCAATTGCGTCGTTGAATTTTAGAGACATTGCGATTATGGAATTTTTCTGTTCTTGATTCGGGGGAAGTCCTAAGCTCAATGAGAATGATAGGTATGTGAAATCAAGAAAGTTACTTCGATAGGGATGGACAATTGAACGGGATTTTTTTTTAATTGGACGATATATATTGAATATTGTGAAGGGCAATGAGAACTTTTCAGGGTGACCAGGGGTTTTAAATATTTAAATAAAAGATGCATCAAGGTGTAGAAAAAAGTGAGCCAGAAATCTAGGCCTAGGGTTTGAAAATAATCCAAGTAAAACAAAACAGATCTTATTTGTTTATTTATAGACTCCACATTAAACCCACAAATTCAATAATTTTGTTTGTAACGGGCCTTAAAATATCTGTTTTTAACTATCAAAGCTAGAACTAGATCACTTTAGCCTCAAGACTTATTTCGCTTATTTTATTATATATTTATGTATGTATGTATATGTTCATATACTTATGTATGTTTGTATGTACATGTATATTGTAGATTCATGTGCAACTCAAAGTTTTCATAGAGCTGTTGTGAGGCCTTCGCCCCAAAAACTGCCAACACTTGTTTTCCTTCTGTTTTGCAATATCCTTCATAAACTTTAAAGCTCTTTGGCCTGGCAAGGAAACTTTTGACCACAAAAGGGTCTGTCGGACGAAGGCCCATAATCCTCAAACGGCTCTGGCGTTGTCAAAGCAACAAATCCTGGCCAGAAACGGAAAAATCTCAAAACAGCAGATGCAGCTAAAATCTTATTTTAAGCTCTTCTTGGCCAAATCTTGACTTTGTTTTCAAAAAAAAAAAAAAAACTGTATTGAATGTTTTCAATATTTTTTTTTTCTTAAGATGACATTCCGCATTGATGTAGTTATTATTTAACTTTTTTAATATTTAATGCTTAACTTGGAGACAAAAGAGACACTCCTGGCGACAAATTTAGGCCATAAACCTCGGAAAAAACTCAGTGTTCTTCGAAAGTCATAACGCGAGTATATATAACTTATGGCTTCTGGATGTTGGGCAATATTCATCATGTAGCTTCAAAAGCGGGGCGTGGCAACAATAGATGGACCCAGGACAGAACAATAGTCCATGTTCCTGGCAACGGTTAAGGAGGCACTTTTCGTGGCGCAAAAAAAAAAAAAAGGACAAACAAAAAGGACAATGGCACCTAATGGTCCGTTGTGGTGTTGGCCGTGTTGGTGGCCGGGTTGGTTGCTGCTGGTGCGTTGGAGTTGCTGCTGGTGTTGCCAGTGGTGGTTCCGGCCGGAACAGTTGTCCCTCATTTATCATTTACACACCAACGCACGTGAAAACAGTCCCAACGTGGCAAAATTATGGACGCTGTAGATGAGATAATTGGTTTCTATTGCAGAAAGAAATCCCGCCCGAAATTCCATTAACGCTTTATGTCGGCGCATGGGGTACATCGGCCCGACTCGGCCCGTCATTTGCATTGATTAAATCACTTTGTGGTCGGTTCAGCAAATGGCTTAAAAATCCCCACTAACTTTCCGCTCAATTGTTGCGTGCGCCTACATTTTTATGCACTCCTCTAGCGTTCTTTTTTTTTTGTTGGCCATATTGTTGCCGCCCTACAAACTGCCATTGTTTTTTATTTAGGTTTCGCCCCCAAAAATTGTACGCAATTTCAGCGGCAGGTTGTGTACCCTTATTTCCAATAAATTTCACTCTACAAAGTCGAAGCTTTGTGGTTCATAAATTCTCCCTCCGATGAGTATTGGCATTTGGAAATGTAATTGTTTCCCCCAGGAATCTTTAGAACCCTACTAAACTCGATTATATCGAAGTTGCTTGTTTCACAAATTTTTGAATTGAAATACGGAAATATTTTCCATCTTAAAAAACCATATGAATATTCTGGGACGGGCGGAATAATCAGTATGCCGACCAATTTTCCAAATTGAATATCATCCAACCAAATAACCAGACCCAGCTGTGGATATATGTAAAGAAACTACCATTTCCATACTACCAGCAACAGGCATTCAAACAATAACAAAACTGCAGGAATATTCGATTCAAAAGTTTAAAACAAACACAAAAAATTCGTATGTAGATGGTTTCATTATACCGGAGCAACGAGGAAAATTTAAATGCCACCGTTACGAGGCAAAGAGAATAAAATTGCGAAATGCCTTCAGCATTTCCAACCATGTGCGGAAAGACTATTAAATGGAAAAATATCAAGATACACGACAATATGAGACGACATTTAAAAGTAATTACAGAGTATATATTTGTAGAGTGGAAGAATTATTAATTGCTGTTGCGATAGGCTGAATTTTTAAACGTAACGCTCGATAACTGATAATAAATGAGTGACATTATCAAAAGGTCATCAGCTGTTTCCCAAAAGGTGGCAACCTTGGATCGTTATCAAATAATAAAATAACAGCTGTTTGTGAGGCTGCAACTGCACGTAACATTTAAAAACTAAAATTGCATTGGAAATGCTAATTTTAAGAAGAAGCTCGCCATTTAGGCAGATTCTAAGACGCTGTCACAAAGAAGGTAAGTAGGAATGTAGGAGAAATATAATAAAAACTAATAAATTCTACTGTTTTTAGCAATCGAAAAGAGTTCAAATGGAAAGGGCAACTTGACCGCCTTCTTTGGCAAGTGGCCGGAAGGAGAGCAAAAGGATTTCCAGCAGCACATGCGCATCATTACAGACTTTATCAGTGAGGCTGAGGAACGTCAACTCCATGAGGAAATCGAACCCTATATGAGCCGTTTGCGCTACGAATTCGATCACTGGGATGATGTGAGATTAAGAATTTAATTATAACTAAAAAGCTATATATTTTTGATTTTTATAGGCAATTCATGGTTTTCGAGAGACAGAGCGCAAAAAGTGGTTTCCTCAAAATCGTGAAGTTCTGGAACGAGTGCGTCAGGTAGCCTTCGACGGAGCTATAATGCCATATGTCCATATTCTAGACCTAGCACCCGATGGAGTCATTAAGCCTCATGTGGACAGTACACGAGTAAGTGTTAAAGATCGGATATAAAAAGTACAAAGTTTATAGTATGAGCACTGTTTTGTAGTATTGTGGCACCACCATATCGGGAATAAGTCTGCTCAGTGATAGTGTAATGCGACTAGTGCGCACGGACGCCCAACGCTACCAGCAGCAGCAACCAACGGCGGGTAATGCAAGCACATCGGAGTCCAAGGGGACAGATGTTGATGCCACAGATGATGCTGCTTACCGTCATAGACCGGAGGCGTCGCTGGAAAACAACTTTTACGCAGATCTGATGCTACCCCGTCGCTCCTTGTACATAATGAGCCACACGGCTCGCTACAATTTCACGCACGAGATCCTGGCCAAAGAGCACTCCTCCTTCCAGGGCACACCCGTTCCAAAGACACGTCGCATTTCCATCATTTGTCGCAACGAACCCTAGGGAGTGCCTAGGGAGGAACTTTTTATTTTGCAAATGCTTACTTCCACTTGTGTGTAAAATTCTAGTCTTGTTGATAATCCTAAACTGTAAATATTAATGCTTTATTCATGGCTTAATTAAAAACCTAGTAGTTGTTACGCGCTTAACCTTTAATTGCATTGAAAGTGCCTGTGAAAGGATGAAAGGATAGCCCGGCAAACGTCCTAAACTTTCGGTGAACATGTGCATGCCATCTAGTTTGGTAAGCAAAGTTTCGAATGCATCAAACAGTTAAATAAAATAGTTAGTGAAACTTAGGTGAAACTTTCGATTCGGTTCCCTCAGAACCCTACACAATGGCTGTTGTAAAATCGAGCAGCCTCTTGACTAGACAAACACGTGCAGCTAAGGATGGGTGACTCGGATGGGAGAATGCGAATAAGGCGGATGGGTGTGTGGATGGATCTTTGATTAAAAGTTAAGGACTCGAGCAGCAACAAATCAGCGTTAGTGGCATTCGTTTACACAACGCTCGACGCCTTTTTAGCCCATTTGTTTGCTTATTAGAGGTTTTTGCTTTGCTTATTTACCCAGAGGATTGGAAGGCAGGGCATCCTTCCTTGACAAGCCTGCAAATCTCAGCAGCGTCAAAACACACAAATATATATATGTGTATATAAATCAGAAGGCGTTATTTTTAGCGCCTTGAAATCGCCGATAAGAAAACATGACGATTTGCAAATGATGTCATAAATTTTCAAGCCCGAGGCTCTTTCTGATGTATTGTTTATGATAAATTCGGCGATAAAACATCCTTCTGCCTTGTTTGTGGTTTTAAATTTTCACGGTACTTGGGCTCTGTTAGCTTTCAGTGGTGGGTGGCGGTGGGTGGATAGTGGTGGGTGGCGCGAAAGCTCACTGTTAGTTTCTCTTACGCTGTTAGGAACGTCTTCCACACGGCTGTTAGGCACCCCTCTCAGTCCCTGTTACTAAAATCATAACATTTACAAGATTAGAGATTAGGGAGTTGGATTTTTAAAGATTATATTTCTTTCAGAGATAATTGCCTTATTTTAAAATAAACTTTTAAAGTTAAATATTGTAACTAAGTAATATTTATTTAGTATTTAAGCAGAAGAGATATACATAAGAGCATTAAGAGTAAACACTATTTGGTATTATTTTGTACTGTTATTATTCATATGTCATTAGATAACTTTTTGTAAATAAATCATACTTGTAAAGACAATTTCCATAGGAATCCTTTTCAATTAAATTCTTTAACAAAGTTTCCACATCAACCGATCAAATGAAATGGCCAAAAAGAGAGTTTGCATTGTTTATGGCGCCAAGCCTTAACATCTAGAATGGAGGTAGTCCCATCTGGTCCTTGTTTTCAGGTGTTCAGTTCATCATCGGTTTAAGAACTTTTAAGCATTGTTCAGGACTCGAGTGGAGAAAGGACTAAAACGCACAAGGACACACAAGCACAAGCAGTGTAAGTCTAGGGACGAAGCCAACGCAGGACCTACTCGAGTAGCTAGTTGCTCGAAATGAAAGCCAGATGAAGAAATACACCTGAGTACTGCAGGTGAGTCGATAAAAAAGCCATCAACATTTTGTTTGCCCCAGAAACTGAAATCTGCAAAACAGCACAACGGTAAAGGACCTAACTGGTAGTCCAGATACCCCTCCTCTCGTAGCCCTTTACCAACAAAGTGGCAACTGAATAAAACTTTGAACAAATTATCAAACTGAAATGCTACAGAAACAACAAAAATAACAACAACAATAATCCTGGCGACAATTTCAAGAGGGCAAGCCCAAGCCACAATCAGCACAAAAAAAAATAAGGAAACTTTTATTCGGTGCTCCTTTATTTCGGTTATTGCTATTATTATTATTATTTGCCTGCCATCCACTCATAACAATTTCACCCTTTTGTATCCCAAAAAGTTGAACAAAACTTTCGGTTTTTTCATTTCGCTGAAACATTTCTCGAACTCCACTCAGGACAGGTTTTCGACCCCAAATCCGGATATACAAAATGGGCTACTACCCTGAGAGTTAGGGTATATTTAACCATGGACTCCAAGGACTAGAAAAACTCCGCCAAGTTCCAAGCAATTTGACCGCATTGCTCTTGGTTGGAAATTCCCAAAAGAACATCAAAGACACACTCCGGAAAATGCGCTTTAGGCGGGGCTTTTGTCCTGCTGCTGTGTCGCCTGTCGAAGGACTCCTCCAAGGGACATTCTCTGGCCTCTTCGCGGACTTTTTGCTGCCAAATATTTTCTTTTGAGCAGGACAACTGATGCTCCTCGTCGTCGTTGATCCACTGAGCGAGCCCTTACTCCTTGGCATCGGAGCCAAAAAAAAAAAAAAAAAAAAAAATCCAATTAAGCCAAGTCCTTTTTGTTGTTTTCTGCTTGTGCTTTTCCCGCCTTTTCTTTGCGCTTCCTTCCACCCAGAGGGACGAATGCAACAGCTCCAGGACAAGGACAAGGACAAGAAGCTTAATGCACAAATTCGCACCCCGACCTGACTATTTCATAATCCTGGGACAATGGAGAGGGGAATTAATAGAGTTAGTAAATCACTTTACTTTTCTATAGAATCTAATTAATTTTCTTCTAAAAACTAGGAGTTAGAATACTTACTTTATAAATGATTCACCCTCTCCTATTATTACTAATTTATGCTGAGATTTTTGTCAAACATGCCCCACTTCTTATTGGAGACAGAGTCCTTAGTCCTCATTATCACTGACCTATTGATTTGCTCCTTTTTCCAAGACCTCTGCTTGCCGAGATTAATTGAGCATAAATTTTCTGCAGAGCTTTTTACGGAATTGCGTGAATTGTGAAAAATTATCGACCAGAAAAGTGGGTAGGGGTTTAATAGAGTTTTAAGTTTTTTTTTTTCTCGTGTCTCGGGAATCCTTCAAGGACCTAGCCTGTCACCTGCCGGCAATCACAGCCATTAATCACGATTATTTCGAACTGAAATCGACAAACGGCCCACAACAGCCTGTGGCAAATGGCCCCCACGGTTCGGCGCTATTACTCACATTAATAAGTAATTATTTTTGTTGCCAGTCGCACTCCCAAACACACATAGCCCAAGCTCCATCGATTGGAATATGTCCTGGAAACAAGGTGTGCGAAATTTAGGCCGTGTTCTGATGGGATTTGTGACGGTTGATGGCAACATTTTTCACTTCAACACTTCCATTAAATCAAAATAATTATATGGCGGGTATTAGTTATATTATTATAATTATTGCCTATAAATTAGATTGTATTAAATTCCTACAAAGCTTCTTTAATCACTTCAATACCCTTAAATAGACCTGGTCCTAAACGATTTGTTTGATAAACAGAAACACTTTAATCCCCATCAGACGGTTCACACACTCCACCTCCACCACTACCTCCACCTCGCATGGTAGCCATCCCCTCGAGGATCTCTGCTCCGGACTGCGATTAAAACTTTCTGCGGTGGCCTGACTTGGTCTCTGTTTCTGTTTCAGCTTCAGTTTCTGGCCCTGACTTCTCCCTGGCCGCAAACAGTTGGCCGAATCGAAAGTTTTTGCTCTGCGGTTAATTCGTTTTTATTTTCAGTGGGTGCTATTGTTTAACCCACAGCCCCAAAAACCAACTGGCGCCAGTCTGTCCCTGGGGCATCTTCCTGCCATCCTTTGGGCTATCCTGCCACAACAAGTGAGATGTCAATCAATAGTTCCCAACTCTCACCATCGAAACGAAATTCTGTCTGACCCTCAAAATAGGACCCTCCTCCTGGATGTATCTACTTACCCACCTAGCTCCTAGAGGTTGCCAGGACATTCTTCTTCAGAAGTGCCTTTATACGATTATCCAACTTAATAGTCTTAAATATATATAGCTAAATATTAAATTTTATTTTCCCCCATTTTAAGCCATAAAACATATTATTTCATTGATAAATTATAGAAAATTATCAACAATTTATTTTAGGCAGATGGTTAATAATTCATAAGCAAAAAAGACAACCTTTTTTTTAAATTATCAAATAAAATAGAGGAGGTTTTTATTGATAATTTTAATTACTTTTATAATACTCCCTAAATTCAATTATTAAAAAAAAAAAAGAAATACACAAAAAAGTCCTTTGGGAAGCATGAAAAATGACACAAAATTACGTGCAAAAACATTTCATGAACATATTTTTATATTTGGATTAGGAAAATCAATTTTCTGGAGCAGCTGAACTATCTCCAACTATAAAGGGCCGAAAGGTGTATTTGTTTTTTGCCATTGTCCGGAAAAGAAGACAACTGTCGCCCGGAAACTAACTTACGACATTAGCCAAACTACTGAAATGCGTAAACAATGACAGCGTTTTGTACATCCATGTGTGAGTGACGGAAAAAATCCCTAAAAAGGACGTTTTTGCCGTCTTGGCCAACATTCCGGGCGTTTTGCACAATCGTGCCACGCAGGACGAGGTCAACGTGCAAAACCCAAATTCAAACCGAACTCTGGGGTCCAGGTAGCAGGACAATGGACTCGCAGTCATACATACAAATTGCATTTAGAGAGCATTATGTGCGACTGCAACTGGGTCAACGAACGAAGATGTCCAGCAGCCGCCCGCTGCTCGCCTCTTAAGGACAATGCCAAAGACATAAGTCCCGCCGTGCATTGTCCAGGCGATAAGCATCTGCAGCGCCGTTACCAAGCCGTTTCTATCCCAAAAAAAGGCGCTTAAAAGAATGACCCTTGGCTCCTTGCAGGAAACCCAAGATGTAACCTAAGTACTCACTAGTTTCTTAAGTGAAAGTATATGTAAATAATATCCATTAATTATGTAATTTACAATAAAAACCATAGAAATAAATGTATATTAAGCTTAATCAAGATAGTATCTATATATTGGCAGCAATTAAATTCTGTATTTAGTTTCGACCAGATTTTTTTAAATTTAACGGACTGATCGAGAAGGGCAACCCTAAACCGCAAAAGAATGTTGCATCAGTGTGGCAACGCTGTCTAGAAGTAAAATCGAGCTCATTTCCGATAACAGTGCGTTGTTATCGATGTTTAGTTACCATCTCTAGCTTCTTTAAAAATTTGGAAAAGCCGGGAAATCAGTTCAATTTTTCGATCGTCATTTTAATTGCCATTTGACCGCCTGTGCCGACACAACCGAATTTCGGAAAAAATAAGAAATAGAAGCGTCGGTGCTCAGAAGTGATAAGTCAGTGCGAGTGCAGCCAAACGAGGAAGTTAATTCCAATTCCAACGCTCCGTGACGCAAAATGTTGTAGAAATTGAAAGTCAAATGAATTCTGTTTGTGTGTGTTGAGTGTAATTTAAAGTCGAGTCCGCCTGCCCAGCCAGCCGTCAGCCTGCCTGCCAGCGTCAGTTTTGATGATAAAATTTGCCTGCGCGCCCATGTGTGTGTATTGAGCTTGTGCGTGTGTTGGTGCGAGCGTTGCGAGCATAAGAAGAAAGCGGAGAAGCAAAAGACGCTCAAACAACGAACGAGCACAAAGAGAAGAGCGCAAGCGCACCATCGAGTCTTGTCCATTTTGAGGAGAAAAAAAAGGGAGAGAATCTAAGACAACCAAGGATTTCTGGCCAATATGTCGCACTTCCAGATCCATAACGACAACAAGGAGAATCCCGGAATGGCTGGCGTTCCCGGAGCCCTCAAGGCTGCGAAACAGCCGCTGGCTGTTATCGGCGGCGCCAAGGAGAAGCTTCCGCTAGCGCCCCGTGCAAACTTTGCTGTTCTCAATGCCAACAACAACAACCAGAACGTCAATGTTCCGCGTCCGTCCGGTAAAGTGGTAAGTCCTCCGGAGAGAGCACAGTTATTTCCCCTTCTTCCTTGCTGCTGCTGTTGTTGTTGTTGTTGTTGGTTGCGTCGCATTCTAATGCAGCTGCCTTTTTTGTTTTTATAAATAATGGTGGTGGAATCCTCGCTTGGCGGAGAGTGTGCGTGCGGAGTGAGTGGTGGTGGTTTTCTCCCTCTCCTCGCTACCCCCACCCACTCCCCTCCACTCTTTGGTTGCACTTTGAAGATAACCTTTTGCTAATTATTCCCGCGCCTAACCTACAATCTAACCTAGAAATTGCAACATCCAGGCGCCTGCGCGCCTTTTTCAAAGCAAAAAGGAGGTAAACAGACAGAGAAGGCAGAATAGCAATGCAATTACTGCACTCTCACTCTCACACTTATACTAACACTAACACACGAAGCCATCTAAAGGCGCGCAAAGACCTCTTAAACAACAACAACAACAATAGCTTGGAAGAAGTTCAAGATGTAACAGGATTGCATCGAATGTGAAAGTCGAAAAGAGACGACATGAAACCTCGTCCCGCATGGTTGCTGTAAATTTTAACCCTTTTGCTTCTCCCGTCATTTACCATCTACCAGCAGGTCTTCCGTGACGTCCAGAACTTTAATTCGAACGAGAATGTGGAGCAGCCGAAGAAATCGAATGTGGTGCCAGTGGTGGAGCAGTTCAAGACCTTCTCCGTCTACGAGGATAACTGCGACACCCAGGTGATTCCACCGGGCCAGTCCTTGCCGTCGGTATTTGAAAAAGAGAATCAGTAAGTTTTAATAATCTTTCCATATCCTTCCATTATCCTTCACAAAAAGCATCCTTTTTCTTAAACAGTGGCTTTGATACCACGCCCATGTCGGTGGCGGATGTCCTGTCGCCCATGTCCGTGGACCGTTCGCTCATCGAGGTGGTCAACATTACTGATGACTGCGATGCCCAAGGTATCGAACCCAAGGAGAAGGAGTTGCCGCCCCGTAACGATCGACAGCGTTTCTTTGAGGTTGTCCAGTACCAGATGGATATACTCGAGAACTTCCGCGAGAGTGAGGTGAGTTGGTCTTTGGAGACGTTTTAATATTAATTATCTTTAATTTGAGGTATGAGTCTCGGAAGAGGGTGTGAGGAGGTCACTCTTAGCAGCCTAGAGAGATCTATGTATATCATCCTGCAAAGTAGTATAATTCCATAGGATCTCTAACTAGATAAGGAGAACCAGAAACCTCATCTGGGAGGGTTTCTCCCTCATACCCACCTTGGAATTTCTTCATTTTTTTTTATTTTCTTACCCCCTGGCTTACTTACTCCTTGGCCATGTGCACTTCACATTCGTGTCTATGCGTGTAAGGCAAGCAGGCAGAGAAACTACAAGAGGCGGGGGGAAAACAGGAAGACGACGGACATGGCCGCACCCTAGTGTACCATACCCATACCCCTACCCATTTCCATTCCCATTCATTTCACGCGCCGTTGCCTGTTTGTGGGTCTAGTTTTTTTGTTGTTTTTTTTTCGTTTCGACGTCACATGTTTATCAGGCGGGAAATGAACGCGCCTGCATCGCATCCTTTGCCTTTATTGACTTTTCTTTACCGACTCCGGCTCTCAGTTCTCCTGCCCACCAACCACCCTGGCATGGAGCACTACTCAATGTTTCTGGACATTTAAGCTTCAGACAACTTGAATTTCAATATATTTCATAAAATATTTCCAACAAAACTTCATTTTACATTCAAGAGTTTCTTGGAACCGCATGGGAAGACGCCCCCACACTCTACATGAGATGCTGAGGCCGTTTCCCAAGCGTCTCCAGGACTTTCTTCTAGATTTGCTGAAAAATGGTCAAAAGTAACTTAACTAACGTGAGTTCCTGTTGAACTGATCATAAAAGTCATCGGAGACGGCATTGCTGAGAGCCACCAAGGCATCCTTGCGCTGCTGATCCTGCTCCACAGCCAGCTTGGCATTGGCGCGCATCAGTTCATCGAACTGGGCCTTACGCTGCCTGTCCACATCGATCTGCTGGAGGACCAGAGTGCGATCCATATTGATGGCATACTGCTCCCACTGCTTGTCCATCATCTGGGCCTCGACCTTGCGCTGGGTGGACAACTTGAGCTGCTGGTCCTGACCCAGCCGGAAGACCCGCAACTCCTCCGGCGTCATGCCGCGATACATGAAGGCGATCTTCTTGTTGGGATCAGTCTTCGATTGGGCCACATCGGGATTCTCGGTTAGCATGTCGCTGGAGAGCATGTTGTAGATCTCGGCCATGTCGTCCTCGTACTTTTCGCGCTTGGCCCTGTCGCGGTCCAGCTGCTTCTGCTTGGCCATGTTGATGTTGAACTCCCGGGTCCGCTGGATCACCTGGTTGCGCATCATGTGATCCGACTTGGCCATCTCCTGGAGCAGATTGTCGCGACAGACGACGCTCTCCATCAGCATGTTCTCGGCCTTCTTGCGGGCCTCCTTGGCCTGCTTCCGCTCGGCAATCTGCTGGTCCAGCCAGGCGCGTTGCTGCTCCCGCTGTCGCACCTTTCGCTCCAAGTTGAACAGATCCTCGCCGTGGAAGATCTGGGCACTGGACACCCCCAAGTTGATGTCGTCATCGGCGATCCGAGTCGGTCTCGCCTTCTTGAGGAAGTTCGGGTCGTTTAGGTCGAACTCGCGACGCTGCTCCTTCTGCTGATAGCGACACCGGTAGTAGTTGAGATCGGAGTCGGCCACCCGCTGCTTCTTCTCCAGCTCCCTCTCCTGGGCCGAGATCAGACGCTTCTGCAGCTGCTCCTGCTCCTCGAAGAGCTTGTCGCGTGTCTGCTGGTCGCTCTGCTGTTTCTTCTTCTCCAGGATCTGACGCTCCAGAGTATCAAGATCGAGCTGGCAAGGGGAGAAGTCACTGGATAGGGGACACTATATATATAGAGACTACCTACCCCGTAGAGGCGCTGCTTGGCGTTGAAGATGCGACTCTTGCGCTCCGCCTCGTACTGCTCTCGCTTCTGCAGCTTCATCGCCTCGTCGAGGTCCGACTTGGTGCATATTCCGATCTTGAGAGTCATCCTGATGGTCGGTGAATAACAAAAAAGATATATAAAGTGATATGTGCTGAGGGGAGTACTCCTCACAGTCCCGTCTGGGTGAAAAATGGGGAATATTATTTGGAAGTAGTGGGGTTTGTTAGTTGAGTTTATTTGCCCGGTTGCCGGGTGTGTTGCTGGGGATTCTAGTTTGTTTGTTGTACTGCCATCTCCCTCAGGGACTTCCTCCTCCAAATTTTGTTAAAAATCTGGCCCGATCTAAATCACTGCTCTTTGGGGCCCTCATGCCGGCCAAAGTGTCCCATTATCGTTAAGCTGGCCATTAAATAAACACCTAATGTACATATTGGCCATATAGGCGATTTGGCGAAGAATTTCACGTTTGAACTCGAGATTCAAATGCCACGCACGTTCCACCAAATAACCAATAAACAAATAAAAAATTTGGTAAATTCGATTGGCTTGCTGGCGGGCTTTGAATGGCCACTCCTCGGTGGGATTTTGGGGGAAATAGAAAAGATGATCGAAACTCAGATACCTCTTACGAAAGATTAGAACTAGACTGCCCATCTCAAGCTAAGAGGTATTCCCGAAAGCCAACCTTCCCTCCAAAATAAACAAAATTATGGAAATAAATAAGCTGCCTTCGAGAATCCTTCAAGCAGAACCGCCACTTGCCAGAAACATGTTAGATTCATGTTAGAGATTAGAATCCAAAGCAAACTTTGTTTAAGAAATTATCAACCATTTCTATTGCCTGAATCTTGCAGAAGAAACATCGCCCAAAGCCGAACTATATGCGCCGTCAGAAGGACATTAATCACTCGATGCGCTCCATCCTGATTGACTGGCTGGTGGAGGTGTCCGAGGAGTACAAGCTGGACACGGAGACTCTTTACCTCTCCGTCTCCTATCTGGATCGCTTCCTCAGCCACATGGCGGTGGTGCGCAACAAGCTGCAGTTGGTGGGCACAGCAGCCATGTACATTGCCTCGTAAGTACCATACCAGCTTCTGCCAGAAAATCAAATAATAATAATGTTTAAATTTTAGAAAATATGAGGAAATCTATCCACCAGATGTCAGTGAGTTTGTCTTCCTCACCGATGATAGCTATACGAAGGCCCAGGTGCTGCGCATGGAGCAGGTCATCCTGAAGATCCTCTCGTTCGATCTGTGCACACCCAGTGCCTATGTGTTCATCAACACCTATGCGGTGATGTGCGAGATGCCAGAAAGACTCAAGTACCTGACGCTGGTAGGTCTTTCGTTGGAATCATAGTTGGAATGTGTTTAATATTTGACATCATGTTCTGTAGTACATTTCGGAACTGTCTCTGATGGAGGGGGAAACCTATTTGCAATATTTGCCATCGGTGATGTCGTCGGCTTCGCTCGCATTGGCGCGTCACATTCTGGGCATGGAGATGTGGACGCCGCAGCTGGAGGAGATAACCACCTACAAGGCGGAGGACCTGAAAACTATTGTTCTCCAACTGACCCAAACGCACAAACTGGCCGGGGAGTCCAACACACAGGCCATGCGGGAAAAGTACAATAGAGAGAAGTGAGTTCTTCAAATCAATGATTAAATCTAGTAACTAACTAATATATCCTTGTGATAGGTACAAGAAGGTGGCATCGATCGCACCCATTGAGCTCACCGCGGTGGCATATGACCAGCTGTGTCAAGGGATGAGAGGCCAAGGCCAAGCATGAAGAGACAACGCAACAGCAGAAATATCACCTCGAAATCGGATGTGAATTTGTTTTATAAGTTTTAAGTTGTTTTGCGCCTCTGCCATGCTCTCTACAAATTTTATATATTAGTTTAGTGTTTTCCTGTAACCCATATCTGTAGTAAGCCTAGAGAGTATGCAAAAGGAAGGAATCGCAGCAGTTACTTTCCACAAAAATCATATATATGTATGTATTTATGAATGCCGAATGCCTGCTTTTAATTGGCAAGCTCCTACCGTAATAGAATGAAGATGTACTGGACAATTTTATATGAATACCATATAAAAGATAGATGCCATCAAGTACGCCATCCACCCACCAGCTGTCCACGGCCAGAGCTTGCCACGCCAAGCGTGAGAAGAGTGGGAACTGCGGCAGTTTTTTTTTTAAATTATAAAAACAACAACGCCACTAATAATGCTCTACGGAGGACAAATACAACATCCCCTACCACCCACTACCCATCTACAGGCTACTTATAATTTTATTCAATTAATATGTTCGATAAATGTAATTTTATGTATTTATAAACTGAATCACATGGAGCAGGAACATCTAGCCCCACAATTATATTAAAATACATATTTATATACATAGATACTAACTAATACTAGGCCATAAATGTTCTGTGAACCAACAAATACAAAACACTTGAATTCTTTAACCCAGAAACCCAGAGACTACCACACAGAGTACTATAATACCCACAAAACGATGACAAAAGCTGGTCCACAGTTGCAGCCATTACGCTTACTAAATGTTTATTATTAGACTAAGGTCTAATCCTCCGCATCGGCAGGTGGATAATACATGTTGCTGAGAGCATAAATCCGAAATATATAGAAACAGAGCGCTAGTTAAATGCAGATGCCGATTCGAGGAGGTTCCCCACAAAGCTAACCCTAATTTTATGACTTTACTAATTTAAATTCAATTTGTAATTCAATTATGTTGGCGAGAGCATCGTTCTTGCGAGCCGTATATTCCGAAAACCTATTGTATTCAATAAAACTGTGACAAAATGCACACAAATTTTTATATTTTTTATAATTTAGGTGGAGGATTATAGAGACTGACTATTCAAGACAGGAAACTAATTAGAATCTAATTATTGTTATTATTAATATATTATTAGAATCTAATTATTAGATAATCAAGCCAATTTGCTAAAAATTAGTTCGCTTTTAAGGGGTTTCCGCAGTTAGAATTTTCTAAAACTCGAAAAGAATAATTTTTTTGTATGTAAATATTTTCTTTCAAAAGAACTCCATCCAATGCATATTCTCGGAGCTATACATTAAGGGGTTACCACCGCCATAGAGCTAAAAAAACAAAAAGAGTACATTTTGGGAATTTGTTCACAAAAAACTATAAAAGTTATGGAAATTTCGTGTTTCTGTATTAAAAGATATAAAAAATATCCATTAAAGTCCTTATTATACAACTGAATAATGGTACAGAATTCTTTCTTGGGTAAATCTATACCCAAGACATCATAGACGTCTTTTTCTAATAGCGCTCTATGGCCGGTAAGGATTTTCTTGCAATTTTAAATTTTGAGTCATGGAATAACAAATATTATATTTTATCAGCTTTGAAAGTACGAACGATTTTTTTAAATCAATTTTCTAAAAATCGAAAACAGTTTTTTTTTTTTTATTCTAATCTACATATGTACATATTCATTCAAAATTATAACTCAATCCATTATATATTTTCGGAGCTATGCTCTAGTTTATAATATTTAAAATATTTCTATTTTATATTATTATTTCTAAAGTCCCAAATAAATGCAGATATTTTTTTTGGGAATAGACACAATTAAAAGCTACATGAATCTTTATTAAAAGTATAGTTGTTGCTTTAGATATAACTATTCTAAAGTAGAATCCGCAGAATCCGTACCATTTTACTTGATTAAGCCATGGTCGACTTCCGTTTTGCATTCGTTCCCGACCGGATGTTCTTTGTAAATAGATATATACATATGAAAATTAAAACTCGATAAGCCCCATAATATAACCTACCCCAAGAGCTAAACACATGCTATCGAAAAGCAACAAAAAAATGCAGGAAACTTTTGTTTTTAACTTTATTTTTTATTTAACCCGTACGATGGTACGATTGCTTCCTGTGGAAACGATATCAGCCCGAAGCTTCGTTTCTTATTATTTCTACAGAAATGGAATTATAAAATATATGTACAAGATCGGCAATGCAATTATCTTCTTAAAAGTAGCTTCTACTTAAGTAAAAAATAATAGTCTTTTAAAAAGTTTAAGTTCTCTTCGTTAGAAAATTCGAAAAATTCTTCTTTTTTAGGTCGTGCAAGTGCGTATAACCCCTTAAATTAAAATATTAATTCTTGACTTTTTTTAACACTTTATTCAAATTAGAAAATAATAAAAAAGAACTACAACAATTAGCATTGATGTTGTTTGTTGCTTTCGCTTTGCGTTCAATCACATCGATCCCGAATCCCGAACTGTGACATCTCGGCGGTGATTCCGGCGATCACTGGGTGACCACTGGGCATGGGGGCAATAAAACGTGGAATAAATGGGCACTGACAAAACCAAAATGCAAATTCTCTCGCTGCCACTGGCGGGCGATCCTCTCTAGTAGGCGAATCGGGTGTCCGGATGGTAGCCAAGCTTGTCCAGGGCCGGATTACAGGCAAAGTTGATCATGGGCGGTGGGCCGCAGAGCAGCACGATGGTGTCGTCCGAGGCGGGCAGGAGGTGGGCGGCGATCATATCGTCATTGATGAAGCCCACGCTATATGGCCAGCCTGGATGGGAGAAAAAAGTGATAGCATTAGCACCAATCAGGATAAATGGGGAGGTTCAGAGATGAGATAACCAACTACTTCGTATAGTACCTCTCCCATCACTGCGCAATCTTTCCCGCTGGCCTGGCATTGTGAAATGAAAGCAAAACTCAGGGAGAGAAACAAGTGGTGGAGCTGCCACCCCATCCTAATAGCTAAAGCGCTGCTCGGACCGATGACCCAGCCGCTCCAGGCCGGGTATGCACGTATAGTTGACCATCGGCGGTGGACCGCAGAGCAGGCACAATGTCTCCGGATCGGGTGCAAAGAGATGCCGCTGCATCATGTCGTCGTTAACGTGACCGGTGTTGTATGACCAGGCTATGAAGCGCGCATTCCCCGTTCCACGCGGCATCCGTTTGAGGGCAGCATGTGGCGAGGGGGCAGACACAAGATACTTAACATAATAGATGCCTAGCTAATGGCATAATGATGTATCTACAGGATGCGAATGAGGATGCGGATGAATGTTTTACCTTAGTTGAGGGAAAGATTGCTGCAGTTGAACTTTAGAGATACTGAGATACTTTTTAAGATTTTAAAACTTTAGTATCTCAACTAGGAGACTTTTAAGGAGCATATTCTTATGCATGGGTTTTATAAGGATATATCCTATCTAATATGGAGTAATATTTCATTAAAAAAATGAGCTTGGGTCTTTGAAAAAAGATTTATAAATCTGCGAAGAAACGAGATTATTGAATATTAGGCTTTCTACAAAAATGTCTCTTGATCTATTCTAGTTATTCTATATCTCAGTACATATTTATCTATATTCTATATTAAAATCCCAATCAGAATTAATAGATATCCCTTCCAATACATCCATTTAAAAACCTACAAGACAAGATAATTAAATCTAATCCCTAATCCCTCCAAATCGTGAAAAAATGTTTCGAAAGATGAGCACGATGATGCAGTTGATTCATTTCCAAGTCCTATAACACCTTGGAGCTCACCTTCAGCAGCCTTATCCACAGTATACCAGACCTTGAACTGGTCGGGATGCTTCTGAGCCAGTTCGTCCAGTTCCCCGCGTAACAGAATATCCTTTTCGCTCTAAAATGTATAAAGAACCATATTAGAGATCTCCTATCCAAACTTCCAAAGCAAAACCACTCACCTGATTGGCGAACAGCAGCGCCAGTTCGGTTTTATCCTTGTCACTGCGCTTGAGGACCTCGCGGACCAGCTGCAGCATGGGAGTGATACCAGTACCACCGGCAATCATGTTAACCCGCTTGGCGGTCACATTCTTGGGCGGGTCCTTGCGCAGCTTCTTGATGGAGAAGGTGCCATTTCCGAGGTACTGCAACCGTCCAGAGGGACCACGGAAGGAGATCTTATCTCCCAATTCCATTTTCTCCAGATGCTGGGTCATCTTGCCGCCGGCCGGGAACTTGGGGTGCTGGTCCTTGAAGTAGACCTTCACCACCAGATCCACGTAGCCGACATCTTCATCCGACGAGATGGGCGTGTACGGCCGGATCACCAGTTCGTTGTCAATGGTGGCGATCAGGTGGATGTGCTGACCCACCGGCAGGCCAAGGACATGCTGCTTGGAGGGCAATCCGAAGCGGAATCGTCGCGTGTCATGGCTGAGCACCTCCTTCTCCACGAGGGGCAGCAGGTATTTGTCGTTGGGATCCACCAGGGTGCGCAGTCGGGCGGTGCGATTGGGTTCCCGACGTGGTTTGGTGGATTTTCTGTTCAGGAAATAGTGGACGATCAGGGCGCCGGCGACTACGGCAACCACGCCCACGGCAATGGGCACAAACTGGAAGGGATTTTAAAAAAAATATTATATTATTATTATTATTTTTTATTTTTTTTTTAGTAAAGAGGGAAATGTTTTTAACCTTTCAGTGAACCAGGAAATTTCCAGAAGTGTTGATATTTTTAAATAAATTCGTTATCAATTTTAATCATTTCAAAGATTAAGAATATTATGTCAGAAATAATACTATATAAGTAATGATGATGAACTAGAATTGTGCATTTTTAATAAAAAAAAAGCTTAATCATTGTTTTTAAAATAGATATCCGTCTATTAAACTTAAATACCTGCTAATTACAATTTTTTAGAGCCTTTATAAACCTAATTCCCTGTTAATTGAAAACCTATAGGTGTTATTAATCAATTACTATAATGATTTTGGATTTATTAGAGTGTTAACACATAGTATCTATTTGTTATATTCTTCGATAGCCTGATTACTGTGTGAAGAGGTCATCAATGAGGGGTAGTGGAAACAACCGCCAGACAGCTATCATGATAAGCCACCGAATAACCAAAAAAAAAAACAGATAGTGTTTGAGTTTGTGGCTGTGAAGCCCCACACACCAAACCTGCACCCAATTGGGGTTACTTGCTTAAGCCATCAAACTTTGGCCCCATATCAGGGATGACCTTGAAGCAGCCGGCCATATTGCTGCGGCTTTGGCAACAACTTTAAGTAATAAAAAAAAACAACACACACTCTCTTTATCCATGACGTCACAGTGGAGAGAGCTGACAAGCTGCACTTGGACTTGAACTTACATCGAATTCCGTCATTTTTGATGCACTTGCTCTGGATTAAGCGATTTGTTTACTTGTTTAATTCCCAATTTGAATTTCACAGAGGGAAATTGTTTGATTTTATTCCGGAATAAATTGTATTCCGCGTGTTGCCGCGCACGATTCCAAAATGAATGGAAGTAGTCGCGTGGAAGCGCCGCTATACCTTCGCCTCGTCACTCTCTCCCTCTCTCTCTGGACAGACCTCCTCCCCCAGGCGGGGAATATAAAAAGGAGAGACTTGCAAGTCAGCACTACTCAGCACAGTGGGTGGGAAAAGTACGACAATCGTGTTTGACGAGTTAAATATCTTTGATATAATGACTTTGTTAAAAACTAGCTTTGTTGAGATGATATAGGCAAAAATTAAAATAATAAATAATAATAGATAAAACAATACAGGGTTGTCGCGTCTGAAAAATCTGGTACTTCTACAATCATAGCAATAAGTGCGAGTGAGAGGAGCTCAACCTGGCGAGCGGAACAACAATAGGATGTATTCATTAACCCTTAGATGATGACCGCGGCTTTAAGTTTTGATTTATAAAAAACGAATTCATGTTTTTTTTACAATTTAAAATTTAAGTTTTGAGTTGGACATGAAAAGTTGTTGCGATTCTTTTGTTTAAAATTTTAATCCTTCATATATATACCCATTATAGCTTTGGTATTTAAATACCCAAGAAAACAATCGGTGCTAAAAAATATGCTAACTTGACCCAGAAGTTTGCACTAAAGGCCGATGGGTATTTAAAAACCCATTTTGTATCTTTTTTTAAGAAACCAAATACCAAAAGGTTTTTCTATTAAACTTCTATGGAAATTTGGTATCACGATAAAATACCATCCTGACAATGGTCAGGATAGTAGCAAAGTAAATTAATTTCAATAATAATCAGAAGTGAATAATATTTAATTTCTTACAGAAAAGAAACATGAAATTTATAAACGAATAGTATCTACTTTTTCCTTAAGTATTTTTCGAATAAAAATAAATAATTAATGATAAACTTTTTTACTAGAATATCTTTGGAATATTTCTTTAGATTTTTAATAAAATTACCCTGCTATTCCTTTTCCAAAGCAATGCAACTGAACTGAAAACATAATTTTGGTCACACCTGTAGATAACACAAAGAGAAAACCCAAGAAACCAGTTTTTTAAGAGAGGAAATGTTAGTGACCTTAGTCACTGAGCTTATGTTTTATTGATTAAGAGAGCTGTGGAATGGCAGAGCTTATTTCATACAAGTGGGTGGGATGGGTGCTATTAGATAAGCCGCAACAGCTGATTGCCTACCCTTGACAATGGATTCTCTCTTTGAATTCGATTACCATTCACTGGGAGAGATTTATTAATTAATTAAATATTACTTCCATTACAGGAAGAACTGGCGGCACCGCTTTTTGGGCCTTCTGGGCTGGGGTTTGGTGTGCAGCGCCTGCGCCTCGAAAACTTGAAATTCATAATCATCGACTGTCTTTAGCCGCATGAAGGATGCCTTGTTGCCACAGCGATAGCAGTAGTTCGGTGCCGACCAGATGGTGACCAGCTGCTGATCAAAGTGCCACCGATAGCCCTCCTGCACCAGTTGATGAGCCCGGCAGATGAAGGATAGGCCATTTCGTTGGACAAACTTGTTCACCACATCCTTGCCATAGAGATGGCCATGTCCGCGGGGAGACGGTGTCCACCCAGGCATCTCACAAGGATCACTCCAAAAAAGATCTGCCATAGCACCTTCGGCCGGTATCTCCATGCGACGGTCCACTTTATAAAGGTCATCCAACTGTTCGATCTTGGGGGAAAGACCTCCGTGGACGCAGAAGATTTTCTCATCCACCAGAGCAGCCAGCGGCAGGAGATCAAAAACTCGGCAGCATAGACGCCACACGTTGGAGGAGCCATAGTTGGCTTGACATTCCTCGTAGAATCCGTATGCTTTGGTGGCGCTACGGCACTCATGGTTGCCTCGCAGCAGGCTCACTTGACTGGGTTGTTGTACTTTCAGGGCGGCCAGCAGTAGAAAGGTCTCCAGACTGTTCTTGCCTCGATCCACAAAGTCTCCCAGAAAGAGGTAACGATGCTGGGCAACTGGGCCGCCCAACTGGAGGAGATGGAGCAAGTCCTGCCATTGGCCATGTATGTCGCCGCACACTATCTGCGGACTCTGGAGTCTCAGCAGATTCGGCTCGCCGGAGAGCAAATCACCCAGTGACTTGCAAAGCTGGCGCACCTCCGATTCTCTGGGCAGGCGGGCGGGCACCTGAAGCAACTGCTCCACCAGACGGTCGGCATGGCTCATCCTCCTCGTGCCAGCTAAACGGGCGACAGCATCTCTATTTATAACCCGACGACGTCATTAGACATTAATGCAAAACCACCCAGTTGGTCGCGAGAATTGGGAAAGAAATCTTCGTCTGACAATTATGAAATGTCAGCTAGCAGGAAGAAGCAGAATCGAAAGCAGGATGGGGATGGATGACAAGGAGTTATGTAAAAGATATGAGTGAACTTTCCGACAAAATCACAACTTACACTGCTCTCGACGATTCGCGCCATGGCCCAAGGCGGGTTTTGTGGGTAAAATCAATGCACTAGCGAGTGCAGCTTCTAATCCTTATGTAATTTCAAGCCCAATGCAGAGGCACACGCACTTTTTCGTATCGGCACCGCCGACTAACTAAAATGCAGACTATCACAGCCGTTGGCGAAATGTTTTAGTTTTCACGCACTCTCAGTATGCGGGTGCTTTCTCTTAAGGTTGACACTGCAAGAAAATGTTTTATTTGAAATATTTCGGTCAAGAGATATGTATCAAGTACTTACATTGCCTTATCAGTACCAAAAAATATAGTAAGAGGGCAGAAAAGAGCAATCTTATCAATAAATTTTGTGATTTCCAATCATTTTCTCTCGCCTACAAACAAAGCGGCAATTCCAGGGCTGAGAAGTAGGCATTTCTTTATTTGGTATTTTCTTCTCAAGAAACTTATTAATATATACGGTGCATATACGTATACTGTTGCAAAATTCTTCCCATTTTGCTTTTCCAAATCCCCCATTAGAACCTGATAATAAAAATTGAGATATTTTAAATCATACAAACATTCGAATTTTGTCGCTTGTAAAATACCAAAACAACTTCACTGACCTGACAACTCTACAATTACGATATATTTTCGTAAACTATCGATATTTCGATAAGAACTACTCATTTTCGACTTCCCAAGTGTTCCTCCCTCTTTCGAAAATCGCACGTTGAGCTGTTGAGATGGCGTAAGTGTTAAATCCCGGAAAATATATTCAATCTTAGTTTATTTTTGTTCAAAATCATAATTTTAATTGAAATAACTAAAATATAATATAGTTTGCCCATGTATTTTGATAACCCGGCAATCAGAAACCAGCTTTTTAGACCATTTTCCATGTCCATATCAGTTTGGAAATGATTGCAAAAATAAATGTGATTTTTGTGCTAAATATGCAACTAATATGTGGGCTGCAAATGTTTAGGCATTGTTTCGACAGTAACTAAATTATTAAGAATAGTTTTGTATAGTATTTGTCTTATTATTGATATTAATTTGCTATTTTTTATCCGGCAGATCGAAAGTATCGCGCGATACCCTGTATGAGGGTGTTAATGGCCTCTTGGAGGCATCCGCCAAGAAGAAGCGTGGCTTCCTGGAAACCGTGGAACTCCAGATCGGTCTGAAGAACTACGATCCCCAAAAGGACAAGCGTTTCTCCGGCACCGTCAAGTACGTTGGTTAAATCACCTGTGCACGTGTCTTAATTTGAACTCCATTGGGAGCCGATTATGCCACTGCATCAGGTAGTCGAGTGGGACACTCGGCGGACCTTCACTCAGGGTCTTTAATATTTGAGTAGGTCTCCAGTAATGGACACCGCCCCCCCTTTAAAACATTCATGAAAACGTGCTCCCCCGTGGGCTTCGTAAGTTTTCCCTGCCCCCTGTTCCCCTTAGTTAAATCCTTATCTTTGGTTTCTCCAACTAACTTAGTTTTCTTCTTCTATCCACAGGTTGAAGCACATCCCCCGTCCCAAGATGAAGGTGTGCATCCTCGGCGATCAGCAGCATTGCGATGAGGCCAAGGCCAACAACGTCGAGTTCATGGATGCCGAGGCTCTGAAGAAGCTCAACAAGAACAAGAAGCTGGTGAAGAAGCTGGCCAAGTCTTACGATGCTTTCCTGGCCTCTGAGTCGCTCATCAAGCAGATCCCCCGTCTGTTGGGCCCTGGCCTGAACAAGGCTGGCAAGTTCCCTGCCCTGCTCTCCCACCAGGAGTCCATGATCGGCAAGATCGAGGAGGTCAAGTCCACCATCAAGTTCCAGATGAAGAAGGTTCTGTGCCTGTCCGTTGCCGTCGGCCACGTTGGCATGAAGCCCGATGAGCTCGCCCAGAACATCAACTTGTCCATCAACTTCTTGGTGTCGCTGCTGAAGAAGAACTGGCAGAACGTGCGCTCCCTGCACGTCAAGTCCTCCATGGGACCACCCCAGCGTCTGTACTAGATGTGCATTCACTTTTTTAAACATCTAACAAATAAATAGAAACTACATTTTTGGAATGTAACTAAATTTAGTATTTGTTTTAGTTTATGAGTTTAGATTTCGGTGGAACTGATGGTTCGCGCCATAAAATCGCGAGCCTTCATTCCTGCGGCCGATTCTTGGTCATCTTCCCGAACCCTGCCCTCCAGTGGCTTAGCTCGGAACTTGGACACGTCCACAGAGTTTCCCCATTCCAGCAAGAACGGCTCGCTCAGTTCCTCCAGGAGATTATGGAGCACGGCGGCGGCTGTAATAATACAAGATGCGGTTTGGAAGCTTATGTCGAGCGGCTGGTTAAGGAAGTTCCAGCGGGACACCAGCCGGTGCAGGGCACAGTCGCTCATTTCGTGCAAATGCTCGGCCACCTCGTTAAAGTCGTGCTCATGGGGAGCTGTGGGCTCGGTGTACCGCTGCAGCAGCCACGGTCTGAGGGGATACTTTTGAAGGACTGGCGCCAGGACGAAGGCAGGAACAGGACGGGAGTTGATGTGGAAATTCGGCAAGTCGGTGAGTTTGTTGGGTGCCAGGGAGAACATGGGCACCTTTGGGGGCTTGCCACAGCCCAGCTGCAGCTCCCGAAAACGCATCCTGTCGTCCAGAAGATACTCCATACGCAGCACAGATCCTTTGGACTTGGGTTCCACACTGGCTCGAATTGGTATGGAGCAGACTCCCAGGACTCCAACCAGAGCAGCGGGCATGTTGCTCTCGCGATGGAAACCCATGGCGACGCTGTTGCAATCGACACGACTGGATGGCAACTGGCGCAGAGCTCTTCCCAAGGTGGACATGACGGCGTTGCAGAAGGCCTTCAGGCACTTGATGGTTCGATTGCGAGGCATGGAAAACGCTATGGCTATTTGGCTGAGCCTCTTGCCGCTGGCCAGGAAGTATAAAGCCAGGGCCACGCACTTTTCCGGCGGCACTGCTGGAATTCGACGGGCCAGTACATCCACATTCCGCAAGCTGGGTGCCAACTGCTTGCACAGGGTTTCGAAGGTGCCCCGGCTGACGTGCAGGGTGTTGAGGAACTCCTCCTCACTCAGTTCTGGAATAATGTCCTCAAAGAAGAGGCGTGCCGGCTGCAAGGGTATCTCCACTATCTGAACATCCGGGGTTTCGTCATCCTCGGGGTACTGCTGCTCCACATCATTTTCTTCCTGCTCCTCCTGCTCCGCAGCTGCCTCTTCTTCGGCTCTATCCTGCTTCAGGCGCAATATTGCAAACATTTCGAGGTAGTTGGCTTGCATTTCCGACATTTGCTGCATAAAAAACGAGCGCAACATCCGTCGCCGCCTCTTAGCCTTATGCTGGGCTCTGCGCCTGTGGGTTATTACGGTAGCGCGTACATTTTGCAAGTGCAGGCGAATCATTTCGGCCAGCTTCTCCCTGCGGCCTTGTAAGTCCTGGCTGGCATCTCGATTGCAGAATTTTAACTTGCACAGAACTTTCTTTAGATTATTTGTCATTAATTCTAATTCTTCTTCCATGTTTTGTTTTCCCAAATAAATATTGGCACTTTGCAACACTGTAATAGGAAAGAATCTAAGCTTAAGCGTCTATCGATAAAGAAGATATCGATTCATTTTTTACATACTCATACTATTTTTAAAACATTTTGAAAATATGTTTTTTGATATTTTGAACTTTTAAATATTTTGAATGCTTGGCAAAAAAACTATATACTGCATATTTAGGCAATATAATGATGGAGTAAAGTAGCTTCTGGGTTCGCTGATTACTGAATCGGATACAAATTGACAGAAGGCCATCGGAAGGAGCAAAAGTGGAGAAATCAGGAAAACCCACAATTTTGTATGCGTACCACTTGGAAAAAATTCGCAAATTTTAAAAACGATATTTAGGCAATGTTTTGAATCAGGAAAGTAGCTGCTGGGTTCGCTGATTACTGAATGGTATATAAATTGACAGAGCTATGGCCATCGGAAGGAGCAAAAGTGGAGAAATCAGGAAAACCCACAATTTTATAGGGGTACCCCTTGGAAAAAATTCGAAAAATGTAAAAACGATATTTAGGCAATGATTTGAATCAGGAAAGTAGCTGCTGGGTTCGCTGATTACTGAATGGTACTTTATTTTCTGATCAGATTCAAATTGGCAGAGCTATGGCCATCGGAAGGAGCAATTGTGGGGAAATCAGGAAAACCCTCAATTTTATAGGGGTACCCCTTGGAAAAAATTCGAAAAATTTAAAAACGATATTTAGGCAATGTTTTGAATCAGAAAAGTAGCTTCTGGGTTCGCTGATTACTGAATGGTATATAAATTGACAGAGCTATGGCCATCGGAAGGAGCAATTGTGGGGAAATCAGGAAAACCCTCAATTTTATAGGGGTACCCCTTGGAAAAAATTCAACAAATTTCAAAACGATACTTAGGCAATGTTTTGAATGAGGAAAGTCGCTGCTGGGTTCCCTGATTACTGAATGGTACTTTATTTCCTGATTGGGTACAAATTGGCAGAGCTATGGCCATCGCAAAGAGCAAAAGTGGGGAAATCAGGAAAACACACAATTTTATAGGGGAACCCCTTGGAAAAATTCGAAAAATTTGAAAACGATATTTAAGCAATGTTTTCAATGAGGAAAGTCGCTTCTGGGTTCGCTGATTACTGAATGGTACTTTATTTCCTGATCGGATACAAATTGACAGAGCTATGGCCATCGGAAGGAGCAAAAGTGGGGAAATAAGGAAAACCCACAATTTTATGGGGGTACCCCTTGGAAAAAATTCAACAAATTTCAAAACGATTTTTAGGCAATGTTTTGAATGAGGAAAGTCGCTGCTGGGTTCCCTGATTACTGAATGGTACTTTATTTCCTGATTGGGTACAAATTGGCAGAGCTATGGCCATCGCAAAGAGCAAAAGTGGGGAAATCAGGAAAACACACAATTTTATAGGGGAACCCCTTGGAAAAATTCGAAAAATTTGAAAATGATATTTAAGCAATGTTTTGAATGAGGAAAGTCGCTTCTGGGTTCGCTGATTACTGAATGGTACTTTATTTCCCGATCGGGTACAAATTGGCAGAGCTATGGCCATCGCAAAGAGCAAAAGTGGGGAAATCAGGAAAACCCAAAATTTTATGGGGGTACCCCTTGGAAAAAATTCAACAAATTTCAAAACGATACTTAGGCAATGTTTTGAATGAGGAAAGTCGCTTCTGGGTTCGCTGATTACTGAATGGTACTTTATTTCCTGATCGGGTACAAATTGGCAGAGCTATGGCCATCGGAAGGAGCAAAAGTGGGGAAATAAGGAAAACCCACAATTTTATGGGGGTACCCCTTGGAAAAAATTCGAAAAATTTCAAAACGATTTTTAGGCAATGTTTTGAATGAGGAAAGTCGCTGCTGGGTTCCCTGATTACTGAATGGTACTTTATTTCCTGATCGGATACAAATTGGCAGAGCTATGGCCATCGCAAAGAGCAAAAGTGGGGAAATCAGGAAAACCCAAAATTTTATAGGGGAATCCCTTGGAAAAATTCGAAAAATTTGAAAACGATATTTAAGCAATGTTTTGAATGAGGAAAGTCGCTTCTGGGTTCGCTGATTACTGAATGGTACTTTATTTCCTGATCGGGTACAAATTGGCAGAGCTATGGCCATCGGAAGGAGCAAAAGTGGGGAAATAAGGAAAACCCACAATTTTATGGGGGTACCCCTTGGAAAAAATTCGAAAAATTTCAAAACGATACTTAGGCAATGTTTTGAATGAGGAAAGCCGCTGCTGGGTTCCCTGATTACTGAATGGTACTTTATTTCCTGATCGGATACAAATTGACACAGCTATGGCAATCGGAAGGAGCAAAAGTGGAGAAATCAGAAAACCCACAATTTTATGGGGGTACCCCTTGGAAAAAATTCAACAAATTTCAAAACGATACTTAGGCAATGTTTTGAATGAGGAAAGTCGCTGCTGGGTTCCCTGATTACTGAATGGTACTTTATTTTCTGATCGGGTACAAATTGGCAGAGCTATGACCATCGGAAGGAGCAAAAATGGGGAAATCAGGAATACCCACAATTTTTTATTCGCAAAATACATTTCTTTTGTTTATTATATTTGAATTATCTTTACAAATTCAAGAAAAAACTGGGCTTATATTGAGGAAGAATCCCATTCCATCGAAATTTGGTGATTTTTTGGCGACAATAATCACCCCGGTATTGGTTAGGGTAAAGTCACTCGGTAAGGTGGATCCACAGAAAGATTTCAGCAGAGATACCTTGGTGCTGTCGGATTCATAAAACTTTAAATTGTCCAATTGGCAATTCGCTTCCGCGCCCATGTTGAAGTCTATAAAATAATAACAATTAAACATCAGTAATTTAAATGTTAATTAAGAAAAAATACCGCTGAAGCTTATACGAAGGAGAGCACCGGGTGGGGCCATCAAGTGCCAGGAACACGTGGAATGATTTCGTCCTTCGTAGGGAGGATTTTTTATATAAATTGGGTCTTTTCCGCTCACAATTATTTCACCGCCACAACCGCTGGGTAAATTACTTTTGGTGGAGTAATAGAACATATTCAGTAAACTAACTTCGTGGCTGTCGATACGAAGCTCGTTGGTTTTTGTAAATATAGGCTTTGGGTCCCATGCAGTTACCGTCCTCGAATAGAGTGTCTGATTGGTTTTTACATCTGTGACCTAAAAAATAAATTAATTAACTTTAATACATGCATAATACTTTCGAAGGTATTTTGATAAATTACATTTAAAAATTGCGATGAGACTTCATTAAATGCCACACTCGCGATATAGAGCGTAATGCTGTAACCTTCCGGAACTAGAATATACTCCGTGCAGTTAATTAGATTCAAGCCCGCAATTTCCTGACTAATTGATGTATAGTTTCGATTACAAGCTAAAAAAATTACAAATATATATATTAATTTTAAGAGATTAAATTTAAAATAATTATGCACATAAAACTTACCAGGTTTTCGACGCGCAACCACTTCAAAACCCATTGATTCCTCCAACCCTTCACTGTGGAAATTTAACTCCAGAGGGAACTGGCTGAGATCCTCAATAAACTTGTAGGTTTTGTTGAATTCTCCACACAAGTATTGTGATCTCTGTAAGGGGAATGAATCACTAAGAATTCAAGATCTAATTTTAAAAATAATTACGTAAGATTTGGAAATTTTCAGGTAGTCTTCGCATTTTCCGGTTTTCTGAGAAAAGTCCTTGAGCTGTAGCCATTTTAAATCGAACTCCACATCATCTTTCGCTCTAATGGACCAACGGCATTCAATGCTTCCCTCGTATCCTTCTGTGGTGTTGTCGTATTGAAGACCCACCGTAATACTCTGATGGAGAAATCCAGGTTTTTGGGATTAAATTTCGAACGAAAACATACCAATCTTACCTCATTTGATTGTATTTCGTATTCTGATTGGCCGCACACGCTCTTTTCCATCTGGATGATGAGCTCGAAGCTAATGTTCCTGGCCCTCTGAGCTGAGGCGCTCAAGTGGATGCTCAAGTCACCATAGGAGCTGAACAACTTGGTCCGGTTAGATCCCAATCCGTAGTACTTGCCGAGGCTCTGGTTATTTATTGCATTTTTGTCTATGATTTCGATATGGTTGCATGTGTTGCAGGTGGCATCATTAAGTTGCAGCTTCCGGATCTCAACAGAGAGACGGTAGCCCGGCGGAACTGTGGCAGTGAAGTAGCATAGCATCCAGTCGGAGGCGTTTAAGTGGTATGTCCGCATCAGATTCATGCGGGGCACATCCGCGTCCAGGGTCACAGGTTCGTTGCAGTTCGGAGTGAAATGCACGCTGGCCAGGAAACCCCGGAAGTTGTTTGAGGCATCAGTTTCTGACACGATCAGTGCCTCGTTGCTGTCAACCATGATGGTGGGTGGGACTGTCTGATTGCCACACAGTTTCACCTCCGGATTTGAGCTGACCACGCCGCCGCGATAAACGGAAAGACTATCGAACTGGCAATGGTTGGCCTTCTCCAGGTCGAAGTACTTGAACTTCAGCACAATGGCATGCTGAGGTGGGGCAGAAACGCGCCACTGGCATTTTGTGTTGTGGGCGTACCCTCCAGCCTCCTCGTCCTGGGGCGGACGCAAGGCGAAGGGTTCACTGTAGTTGCCACCACATCCGATAAGATGAAAGCTAATGTCAAAGAATCGCGGTGCGGAGATATGGACCTTCAACCGCAGCCTGCGGTATCCACTCACCTCGAAGTCCGGGCACATCCGGCCGACGCTGTTCTCCACCTCGTGATCGTCTCGACGGAACACCTCAAAGTAGTTCATCTTGCAGAATTCGGAGTTCCAAGGACGACCTCTTCCGTTGACATTAACCACCAATTGGTGTTCCGTTTCTGTGAAGAACTCATAGCTGCAGCTATCATATTTGGCAAAAGATGCCCATCTCGGGTTTCTGAGTGTCTGTAGATCGAACCCGGCCCGGAGGACAACATCGCAACTGGGGGCGACGGTAAAAGTAAAACC